GCGCGTAGAGCCTGGCTTCTATGCAAGCCCGGATCGGCCGATGTGCATACACGCCTGGCAAAAATATCAGTGGTGCATATAAGCATGGTTTGCATACAAGCCTGGTTTGCATTGAAGCCTGATGCAGAAAGCGGCTGATGTGCTTATAAGCCCGGCTTTTATCCGCGACTTTACGGTATATAATTTTTACCCCAGTTCAAGGTGTCTGTAAGTGGTGGGGCAATGAAAGATAATTATTGCATGAGGAAATATTCGAAATATTAATCAACCTGGTCAACCCTGTATTGTTTTCCCAGACATGTCAGACATTCATTTGAAGTTGGTGTGTGGAATTCATGCTCACCTGAATCATATCACAGTTAGTGATTTCAAACCGTAGGAAGTGTGCTTTTTGTTCCTGGCCAGCACAAAGATGGAAAAGAGAAAAACAATTGCTTTCGAATAAGGTATTGTTTAACCCTTTATGTACAGCGCCCATCTCGAACCGTAAAAATATTAGCAGTAGTATTCTATTATTCCCGTAGCTATGCAGAAGACGTTACTTCAGTAACGTCTGGCGCTAGCCAGGGTCCACACAGCTTTAACCCTTTACCGTTTTTACGTACAAATTTCAACCGCTCGCGGTCGATGACTAGTATGCGCACAGTGCTGGACTGTTTCCCCCGCAGAGAGCTGAGGTTTTCCCTACTGGTAGCCAAGATGTACGCGCAGAGGGTGCCGACAATTTTTTTGTGTGATGCAATATAAAAATCGCGAAAATCGCGACTTGAAAAATGCGCTTTGGGAAAAGTGCGTACCCTACGACTTTTGGTATTGCCTGCAGATTATTTCGACTTTTGCTTGAGCTGGCCTCACGACTGTCTGCCCTGCTGTGCAAGCCACGGACGCGGGGCAAGCTCTTTCGCTTCTGGGGACCCTTCCTGATGACTCTGTCGATGCCTCATACAGCGAAGATGAGTTTGTGGAGCCAGTCCATCCTGTTGAAAATATTTTTTCTGACGACGACAGCGACGATGACATGGGGAGTGAAAGCAGCGCCAGTCAGAGTGACATGGATGTCACAGACAACGACAGTGTCACTGAGATGAGTGCCACTAATGGTGGAAGGGGACGTGGCAGAGAGAGAGAGAGGATTCGGCCGTGGAAGAGGGCGTCGTCACGGTAGAGGTTGTGGTGCACAGGTACTATGTACAGCCAGCTTTGCAACCTGCAATAGTCGATATTTGCAATACGTGGGACAATGCTGACACCGCTGTGACTGGTAACACTCCTGCGTATAACCCAGAGAACGAACCTGGTATCCACTTACCTGGGGGAGCCACTCCAGTGCAAGGATCTGATTTATTGCATCTTGCAACAGTTTGCCCGATGGGCAATAAATACAAATAATTATTAGTGCTAAATAGTGAAATCTGTGTTCGTTTTCTGGACTTGAAAGTCGTTGCATCGCATTCCTGAGGGTTTTTACTTTCAGAATCACCCCATTTTGTACGTAATAAAAGTGAAAAATGAGCCCCAGCCAGCAGAAACCTGAACATGTGTAATTTTTTCAAAAATTATTTTTTCTCTCGAAATTGTTTCTACACTATTAATCATTCAAGTTATCAAGTTTGGTGACAATCTGATAAGCGAAAGCATGGAAAATAGAGTTTGAAGTCACACAGGTCAAGATTCGGTACAGTTGGCGCAGCATCCATGCCTAGTGATTCCATGCTAGTTGATCCTACAGTTTCTGATTGTGATGTGGAACAGGTACATGTAAGTAAATAGAATGCAAGTCAGGCTTGCCCTCTTGGTGCTGCAGGCATGAGTAGTTCAGAAGTGTGACGATATTCCGTATACATCACTACCTTCTTTACAACACCAGAGTGCAAAACGATGATTGGTGGCTGGCCTTCCAAATTGTGTTCAGGTACCTCTGTGCTGGCAGTTTGACCGTTGTCCCAAAGCTTGCCATACTGATAGATGTACTGACCAATACCACAGACATCCACTCTCTTGCACACTTTCACTCAGACCATGATTTCAGCATAATTGTATTTCAATGATATGAGCGAATACTCGCGTTTTGTAGCACGTGAAGATGTTTCCCCAAAGCGTTCAGCTGGTTTGAGTTTTTAGGGATCCCCTTTCTCAGCACAGGCAGCAGCCAGCCTGGCGTTGTCTGGCAAGGTAGAGTACTGATAATACTATGCTCTGTTTTGCTCCGTGAGAAGCCCTCCATCAGTGTCTGCAACATCATTGTTGTCGATGTAGAAATACGGATCGCTCAGCGGGTCGACATTCAGCTTCTCCTCGCAGTCGCTATTACTCCAGCACTGACTATCGTCACCACCAGTATCCAGTGTCGATTTTATGAGGGCTCTTCGTTGCTATGCATATGAGACTCGCCACTGCTGGACAAACTCAGCGAGATCGCCACCAAAGAAATAATTCCGATCGCGAACTAACTTTCAGCGCTGCTTCGTACAGGGAGTCTCACGCTGACAACTCTGGACCTAAGTCTTTGTCGCGACACCTGTCGCCATCGCTGTGTCTAAACTAAACCTCCGTGTGACGAGCTCTCACCCAGCGCTGAAATCAATTGACCAGAGACATTTGAAGACACTTGAAACTCCTTTGACAACAAAGACACCCACTCGATCGAAAAAGAATCTTCAAAAGCCAGCTCACTGCGCGTCCCAAACTTTGACGTCACATTTTGATGATTGATATCAAGTACACAAGTGCTGGTTTTCGCTGGCCGGGGCTCATTAATATAAAAGTTACGGCATGAACAATGACGGTCGGTTTTTACTGTACAAATACCGAAAACAGTAAAGGGTTAATTTGGTGTTTGTCTGTTTGTGTCACGCCTGGAGCTATCCCGTATCTGTCCCGTACCGTACCGTACCATCAAACACAGCTGGCCACATACAGTTGGCCGCAATATTCAAATAGGGCTTTCAAACGCAAGATCATAACGTGAAGCAACTTGGAAGAATGGGTATGAATGCGAAGTGTATGGGGGAATGCATGTAGGGCGATAATGCGGGTTCAAATCCCAGGATATGCCTGAAAAATAGGAGAATTGAAAAATGTATACCATCCCTATGCTTTTTTTGCCGTCATCAAGGCGGTGGACGGTGTCGTATTACCCTCGATCGTACCTGTCCCGTACCTATCCCGTACCGTACCATCAAAGACGGCTGGCCACAATGCATATTCAAATAGGGCTTTCAAATGCAAGATCATAACGTGAAGCAACTTGGAAGAATTAGTATGTATGCGAAGTGTATCGGGGGATGCATGCAGGGCGCGCGATAGTGCGGGTTCGAATCCCAGGTTATGTCTTTAAAAAAAGGAATTTTTTAAAGAATTTATAACATCCCTATGCTTTTTTTTGTCTAGGTCATCACGGCAAAAAAGCATAGCGTAGGGCCCTGAGCTTCCAAGCTCTCTCGTTTATAGTGGAGAAACCAAAACAGGCAGATGCCTAATAGCAATGGACCCTCTGTGTATTTACGGTTCGGCGCGCCGCACTTGGACGCGCCGTTTGGCGGCATCCTTTCTCTGATTGACTCGCGTTTTTTGCAGTGGACAGCTGAGATCCCACTGACAATTTTTTCTATGATATGGGTAGGTCGTCATTTGAAAGTATGGAGACCGATCGCTGCTAAAAGTGCGCTTCGCTTCGTGCGTTTTCGTTCCGTCACGCTGCTGCTAATAGAGATATAGCCTTCTGGAGCTAATGTCGAAATCCTCTAATCATGGTAGACATCTGGAGAGAGCTGAAGCAGCGATATCTCCTCAGGATCTCAATCGAAACTGCCAATTTTCATCGCTGAAGCCATCACAGCATTCGCTCTCCAAGTAGCAGCGAGAGGGAGGGCAGCGAAGGCATAAAATCACTACGGCAGGCGGAGGTCATCCCCTAGTAACTATTTCTTGTCTTCTAAATCACCAATTCTTGCTCGACGTGAGTAGATCAGCCAAAACTACATAATCTCAAATCTGAAAGAATTCCAATAATTTGAATATTTGACGCATTTTTTGCGTCTGGTATTTAGACGATACATCCGTTTTAATATTATTATTATTATTATTATTTGAACAAACGGCGAGGAGACAACAATTTGATAACCGCAATCAGTAAAACAAGCTCGATCGACATTTTGTGTACACTGTATTCATGTAATGTAAAACTGTGGAGACAATGTGCAATAAAACAATGAAAATGAGAAGAAATTGTGTAGAGAAAGAAAAGGGATTCAAACAAGTTTTCGTACGATACTCATCAGGAACCTTCGTTGTACTAAAGGACACTGAACACAAGATTGAACTATTATAGAAAATCTAAGTTAGAGAAATAACACTAAGAATCGTACATAAATAAAGTAATAAAATTCTTCAAACAGAGAGGAAGCCTTCATGCTGCTGACATGGCAACAACAACTCTGACAAGGTCTCGTTAAGTGAGATCCGCTGATTCGCCTGGCTGTGAAAATCACGGCATGCGTAAGCTCGCGCCTGAGTACTCATCTGAGCGAGAGTGAATCTGACACGAGCAGCTCTGAAATGAACGAAACTAAACTGTGATCTCGTGGAAAGGGAATTACTGCTAATGGTGTATCGCTGATGGCGGAATTGTAGAGCGCCTACACTGCTGGTAAAGACGTAGCCATTACCTGACTTCGGGTTTATCATCAATTTCGTACACCCTTTGTGCTGTCATGTTCGTGTACTTCATTACCAATTGCATTTTTTCTCAACTTGAAGGGCTACCGTGGCCCGTATCCTTGTCTGGAAAGAGTCATATTTGAATTTTCTGGACGCATTCAAGCATACCGATTTTAACAATAAGATTTTTTACGCAAACCTACATCCCATAGTTCTTGACTTATTTCTGGTTGTGTGTTCATGTATTTGCATGACCACCCCTCACATACATTGAGTTAGACCGGCAAATAAACAGGTGTTTGAACATGGCCACTTTGTATGTTCTTCATTGCATTGGGCAGATCATTTCAACTGCAATAATCCGCAAGGTCTCTTCTACATCAGCAACCCAGTTTGGACCTCGACAGCGTCCTGTAGTGGGGCAAATCTTCTTTTGCCAGATTCAGAAGCAAGTTCAACCTGCGTCCAGAATTACATTGCTCATATTAACTCTCAACTCGGGACCATGAGTACAGTATATACAGATTTGAATGGAGCAGTGTCATGCTACCCAAGGGTGGATCCATGCCCTTCCACAGGAACGGTTGTCATGTGCCGCAATACCCTACCTGCCGCTAGCAATGGTAAGGCATAAATCCCAACCCCCAAACATTTCAAAAACGGGAATGGAACATTTTCTAGGGTCTAAACTGCGGGAAACATGGATGCAGCAAATGGGAATTTCCGGTTTTGACCACTTTGGTGGGTTAGATCTACTCACCTCCCATTGCTTTAGGAGCTGCATGTGCGCCTTGTTCCTTCAAGGGTGGTGATGATGCGGAAAACTCGGCCTCTGCCCGAGTCTCACGTGAATAGTATTTTTTTTAACTAAATAGATATGCACTGTTTATGGGGTGTGCCATAGACTGGCAATATAAATTTAATCCTAACCAGTGTGATACACACAATCTGCCTCGAAAAGCCCGGTTACAAGATAATTTGTGTGTTTAATACACACATTGCAGTGTCCACATATTCTCCACTAACTATCGAGGATGATTTCTTATGTTGTAAGCGTACGTGTAAACGGCTGCATAAACCATGTTTCGTCAGAGAATTTGAGATTTCTCTCTTTCAGCAGGCCATAACAGAGTCAATGCTATTTTTTATTCATCTACAGCTACCACCAACCCACGATGTCCAGAGGATCTACAGATCTCGAATGGCAAAGTACTGTACCCGTCAGGAAACATATTTCCATCACAATCATTCGACACATGCAACCAAGGATACTACATCAGTGGCTTTAGACTTGCAGAGTGCAGCACAGCGGGCACCTGGGGGAACCGTGTGGCCACTTGTACAGGTATGGTACAGGTGTATCTTGCCTGTATATTGCACAGCAAAGATATTTCTACCTCCCGTATTTCCCGGAATATAAGCACTTTGAACAATAAAAAAAATCCCAAAAGGGGGTGGTGGGGTGCCGCAGATAATTAGCCAATCACATCAATGGTGATAAAATTAAAAGGATAGATTACTCTATTCATGGCAAAAAGGGTGCGGTTTAACCCATTCACCGCTAAAGAGGTATAAATTATATATATATATATATATATATATATAATTTATTATGACTTGGGGCTCCCCGCGTGCTAGTTTGTACGTGAAGTGTGTGGGTTACAGTGAGGGCTGCGTCCCACCCGCCTGTGTGGATTCATAGGAAGTGTGAGTTACGAAGTCTGAAGAAAATGTTGAACGGCCTCTGCTGGGATGACGACTACACCATAGCTCAGTGGTTAGAGCATCGCTGGCTACAAGCGAAGGTCCCTGGTTCGAGTCCTGGTGGTGACAGTCAATTTTTTCTTCAGACTTTTCCCGTTTGTCTCTTTCCCTCAAACCAGTTAATATATATATATATATATATATACGTCATTGAGAATGACACCAAGGCACTGAGGACGCATATATGCGTCCTATTATAATTGGCCGATTTGAGCCTTACCTCTTGTGTGTACTCGTCCATGGTCTATTGGTACAGTTCCAGCCTTCGGTACGAGCGGTTGCGGGTACGAACATCGCTTAGTTAGGGCCGGGTTTCACTGCGGCTCGGCTGTTCCGAGGCACTTGGCTGCATGCAGCGGAGCAGCGCGGTTCCACTGACACTCGTGCTCCACATTTTTTGATGACGTTTCACCTGCCTGCGAAATAAAAAAATCGTGTTCTGGCTTGCGAAACGAATTAAATTTGAATTTTAAAATTCTCTCGTACAAAACAATGCAAAGTCCAGGAAACAGGTCGAGCTGTGACCACGGCTCGCAGTTTTTTGATCAATAATCGGAGCAAAACTCTTGGTGAGCCGCGGCCTAGCTGCTCCAGCTCGAGCCACGGTCATTATGGTAATGGTGACTTTTCAAGCCGCGAATGACGAGCAGGGGAGCCGCAGTGGAATCCGGCCCTTACATGATGCGTCTCTTTTTCTCTTCTTTTTCGTGCGGTGATTCAACTCAAATTGCCGACTTTTTCGTATTCTACGCAATTTAGATGAAATTACGTGTCATATAGCACTTTTTTCCTCTTTTTGGGAACTATATCGAGTTGATCAGCATGATGATCACAGCCTTGATCAACATTTCACAAAGAGTTCAACAATCTCGTTGCCTAGACTATGAAGTTGCGGAGCTTTACATTGGCCCTATTTTTAGTAATTTCTTCAGAGCCTCACATGAAAGGACCTGTAGCCCTCAATGGGTTAAACTAAAGTACGGCTCATACTCCGGAGAATACAACAGCTGGTAGTGATATTGCATATCTATGCCGTTGGTTGTATAACATCTGGGGAACAGTCTTTAGACCACATGATATAGGGACATATACTCCTTCACGAAAATGGACATGCCTCCATAGATATTTTTTGTGCATTTGGAAGATACAGAAGCAAGTAATAAGATGGTCAAACCTCCCCAAGTTTATTACTAGTACACTCGCCATGCAGACCCCATCGCGGTTGTGATATGTACCATTAGTACAGTGGTTATACCGTAAGCTTTGGAGAGTTCTTGGTGGGGGATAATGTTATCACCGTGAAAAATAGCTCTTTGGAAAGTCTTGGAAAGGCCCTTTCCTAGTGTAGTATGTGTTACTTCAAAAAAATTATCCCAAGACGATAAATTGAATGTGGACAGAAATCGTGTAGCAGTCTCCATCCAGCGATTTGTGTGTGTGTGTCTCTGTTTCTTATATGAGTGTATGTCTTTCGGTTTGTGGGGACACTCAATTCCAGGATACAATTGCCCTCAACCAACACTAGCTAACGGTCTAATCACGGGTACTGCTCCACTATATACGGCATCATGCAACAGTGGATATCTGCTATCTGGCAGCATCAATGTCACATGCCTTACTGCAAACACAAACACACCTTTACCAACATGTATCGGTATGTAATTTATCTGCGTGTCATTTGTGTTATTAGACGTTCACGTGATCATGATCCGATTGCAAGAGGTTGTCACTTTGGATCAATGCAACTCTAGGAAAATTTAAATGATTTTGTATTCGGTAATACTAGCCATCTGAACAGTTCTCAAGTAAGAGCCAAGGATTACAGAAGCTTCCACTTTTCACATCACAATAAGGTTATGTCGTTTCAAAGTTTCACAGTACCGTGAAGCATAGAGGTAGTCAATTGTTGTCTGATTATAGCTGTCCTGCTGTTCAGGAACAAATTTGCTGAAGATGAAAGGCTGACACGCAACTGCTGAGCAGTACTTTGACAACAGTGAAGCTGTTTAATTCCCAGTGAAATTCCTGAAGCGATAGCACATCACTTGAATGATGCAACATCGGAACCCTTTTCCATACCAAGGACGAGTTAACTCGTCCTAAAACACCCACCGTGAATGGCAAAGGAGGAGATAACTAGTCACGAACACGGAGCATCATAGAAACGAGCATAAATCATAGTACATTCCGCTATAACTTCGGTCTCCCTACTTCAAATTCAACATATGATGGCTCCTTCGAAAGCTATTGAACAAACCTTTTTGTCGATGTATCATTCCATATAGCGTGAAGTAAAATACGCAAGCGCCGAAGCTCGAAGACTGAGAAACAGGTGAAGGTCGTATTTCATGCATGTCACTGTGACGCACTTTATGCTAGAGTTGATGATGTGTTTGAATGCGGGGATCTCCCCGGGGAACAACCCAAGCGTGACATACACCAACATAAGCGCTAGAACAGCCTGATTTTGCTGGTGCTGGAAACGTGGCTGTACGTTGAGTATGAGCTGCAAATCGAAAGAAGTTGTCTCTGAGTGTAGAAATGCACTACAAAACGTTTTGAAGCCAAGTTTTTGTAGGCTGTTCTCATGGGCCTACAGAGCACCGTGTGCCGTGAATCAACAGGGGAGATCCTCAGCTTTCCAGAGAGCCTCAGATGATGGAAAAATTGCCTGTAGTTTCAGCGTGCGTCCTGTGTAGGAAGTGCTCTGGCACTGAAAGGGGTATTGCTTGAGCTCCAGCACGTTCGATTCGTCAGCCAGCAATCTTGACGCCAATGCGGACAGCGACCGTGACATTAGGCCTCTACAGAAGACGTGAAGTAGTGGAGTTGTATCAACTAGATCAAAAGCTGCAAGTGCGTTGGCCTAAAACCAAACACTGCAAGCTTGGACGATATAAGTGCGCGGCAGTAATACTTCTGCAGACTGCTGAGAATTAGATGATTGATGACCCAGATGGGAAAGACCCTCGGCTTCCAGCAACTAAGTAGATGAAGAGGGATTTCCTGACATGAGTGATTAGTTTCAGAAAGGCTATTTGTTGTAAATCGAGAGAACCGCCGATTCTTGAATGAACATGACAACAATTATTGGTGTAAATAAGTTTGCTTCAGAATCACACATGCCACTTTGAGATGGGTTGTAAACACAGTTTGGGCAACTTATCACCTTTAATTACTCATTTGCATTTTTATATCTAACTCAGAAGCTGCCTTGAAACCGGCCATTTGGAAATAATTTGAAAATGTCCCCCTCTCCACACTGCGCTCTTAGGCAGAATTCAAAACACCACCTGCCTAGCTATGGTGTGTTGAAAGTGGGCCAAGAGCACAGTGTGGGAAGGTTTACAGTTAGAAATACTTCCTCCGTTTACAATATCTTCGTGACCATTTAGTACAGTGCTCTTGAGCAACAACCCGCTCTAAGCACTGCACCAAAGGCTGTCATTGGCAACCCACGTTGATGTCGAAGTGAGTTTGGTTTATCCCGAACAGATTCTCCACAAAAACCATGCGTGTGGGGACGTTGCGAACAGGAACTCAAGAGTCAAATAAAAAAAACATACTTGCTCGAAACTGACACAGTGACGGAGTGGTGCTCGCGTCTGGAACATGAAGTCACGCTGCACTGTCTGCCCCGAAGCTGGCCATGGCAGACTCTGTACTTATAGTAGCACGACACACGACCTCATACGCAGCATGAAAACATGAAGTTGTTCGGCTTGCATGGCCAGATGAAACATTTCGGTCGTCGTGCAACCAGGCTGACTCCGCACAGGCATGTTGATGACATGGCTTTCTTTGCCTCTCTCTAGTCAGACGTCTCCTTTGTCGCCAAGGGGAATCGCAGGGACCTCCTCAAAGCCATTGAAAAATTTATCCTTCCGAGAATATGCGAAGCATGTTTTTGTATTTGTACGACTCGTTTCACGGCATAATGGACGTCGCGGGTGGAACGACTGAATATAGTAGACAAAGAGGGGTACGCAGCTCTGGAGATGAAAAGGACTCAACCGAAGTGCCACATCCGATCATCTCTGCAGTTGACAAGGAGACGAGTGAAATGCATGCGGAAGCTGCGACTGTTGGAGATTCGGAGTCAGCGTCATCAGGTGGCAATGACACAAGCGAAGACGACTCTGAATAAAATTAAACTCATGCGTCCGAGTTGCTACCTTTCTTTGAATACCGCTTATGAATAGATTAAAGAATGCCACGAGTGTCATTCCAAGTCCAACTGAACAATTCCTGAGCTGTGCGCAGCCTTAAAACAGTCACAATTTTTTTTCGGATGAAGTAAATTGTACCTCTCTTTGTTTTTTTGGGGGACCATTTTTCCCCCCTTTTCTGGTGCTCTTGGGGTATCCTGATGCCAATTGCGAGTGGGGTGCTTCCCGACTCGCAACCACGGATTTTCTGGACCACTCACCTTCCCCTGGTTCTCTAGTGTCGGTTTTATTTTCTCTTATGGTCTCTTTCAAGATGGAGCAATGTTATTCAAACAAGAGAGCTTGGTAGCTCAGGGCCCTATGCCATGCTTTTTTGCCTTGATGAACTAGGCCAAAAAAAGCATAAAAATAAATTCGACGGGTTCGCGTACCGGGGCAGGTCAAGAACAAGGAGTCGTACAACTCCCTGGTCAAGAACCACCTTTCCGCTTCCGTGGGACGCGACCGGCCCATGATCAGGCGTCAGATGCGGCTCCTAAATGGTGGGGGAGGATAGATCAGATCCATCAACCAGAGGCCAGAAAAAAAGGGATGTTATATATATATACATATTTTTTTTAAAGATATATATGATAACCTGGGATTCGAATCCGCACTATCGCCCTGCATGTATCCCCGATACACTTCGCATACATACTTATTCTTCAAAGTTGCTTCACATTATGATCTTGCATCTGAAAGCCCTATTTGAATATTGTGGCCAGCCGTCTTTGATGGTACGGGACAGGTACGGTCGAGGGTAATACGACACCGTCTACCACCTTGATGACCTAGGCAAAAAAGCATAGGGATGTTATACATTTTTCAAAATCCTCCTATTTTATTTTTCAAGGTATAACCTGGGATTCGAACCCGCACAATCGCCCTACATGCATTACCCGATACACTTCGCATTCATACTCATTCTTCAAAGTTGGTTGGTTGGTTGGTTTTTATTTTACTTCGCACATTCAAACGGGATGACGAACCAATAGAATGACGGTGAAGGCTTAGCCTAGAAGTGGCTATGGAAGAAAATAGTAAAAGCTATGAAAGCACATAGTAAGAGAATAGGATACTAATAACTGCGAGTAAACGGGGGGGGGGGGGGAGAGAATACAATGTATCTGTGATACTATCTGTGATACTACGTGAGGATTAACGAGGTTGCTTCACGTTACGATCTTGCATTTGAATGCCCTATCTGAATATTTTGGCCAGCTGTTTGTGGCCAGCGGTCTTTCATGGTACGGTACAGGACAGCTACCGGATAGCGCCAGATGGAGGTCCGTGCGCCACAAACAAACAAATAAATAAACAACAAATTAAAGCTGTGTGGACCCTGACTAGCTCCAGACGTTACTGAAGTGACATCTTCTGCATAGCTTCGGGAATAAAACATTTAGATTATCCCCATAATTGTATTGTCCTCAAACACTGCTTATTAATTATTTATTTTACTATGATGATCCATTCTTTTGTTCCCACAGAGCAATGCCCTGTGCTGGCTATAAGCGATGCAACATACGATACGACAACAAGAGTGGTTGGGACAACTGTTACTGTATCTTGTGCCTCAGGGTTTGGAGTAATGGGATCTGCCACAGTCACTTGCATGGCAGGTGGCAGCTGGTCAACATTGCCGACCTGTGTCGGTGAGTTCCTCCATTAGCTATAGTCCTTTGATTGCTCACATTTTTCTCCAACCGTACAGTTTGTTATCACTCTCTTATTATTGACCCCCACAGAAACTTGTGATCTCTAAGCGGTCAAATATCAGCATATATTGACCGCTTATATTGACCACTTATTATTGACCACTTAGCCCGAGGACTTAGAACTTTTTCCTCAACTTAGAAAAAAATTAGAACTGAAAGAAGAAAAATCTGAAGCCAAATGCTGGGATTTGAACCCAAACTTTCAGATTCTCAGTCAAAGAACTTGGGGAACATACTACAAGAGACAACTGAAAACTTTGGTTTACACAGAAGTAATGTCCAATGTAAACGGCATATGTACATACTATTATACTATTACAATAGTATTCCTTTCTTCCTATAGCAAAGCAAAAACAGTTTTAGGTATGCTATGTCGTGATAAATCTATTATTGCCCTCATAATCGGTCAATATATGAAATATAGACCTCGTAAAAGACCTCGGGGGACCTCGGTCTTTTACTCGTTCTATATTTCATATATTGACCTCTTTAATCGGGCAATAATAGATACATATTGTCGTCAGCAGTGGTGTATGCAGGGAGTTTCGAAATCATAATCAATCCTGGAGACCCTGTGGTGACTGTTTCATCATACGGACTGCTTAGATAACTTACTGTGGACTGTAAGAAGGAGTATTTTGAAAGCACCAAAAATGAGTAAACAACTCAAACATGAGCGAATTTGGCGAATCCGGGTCCGGGGCCCACTGATTCGCAGAATCGAACATGGCCTAAATCCATTTCTTCAAATTTTGGATAATGGCTAAAAGAAGTGAAGGACTTATTTATGTGTGGTTTGTATCTAAACCCATATTTTGGGTTTCAGTTTTGAAATGGTTTGAGTCAGATTTTGGACTGGAAATCTTGCCCGATGGTCGTCTATAGTCCGCTTCAAAAAGATTAGCAATCAGGTTTTGGTCTTAAAAAGTTTGAAGATAAGGGAAAATTGAACAACGAAGTACATAAAAGGGCTGGTTAGGGCACGGCAAATTGTTCTGTGAAGGTTTCGGAACAATTGGACCAGCCGTTAAGGAGTTAGAATTTCAGCCAGGTTTCTGGCCTTTTCCCATGGTTTACAATTTGCCCTGGAAGTCATTATCGATTTTTCTATCAAAAGCCACGATTTATCTTTTCCTTTCTGGCCTTGTGGCTATGGATGCTGTCTGCTGACCATGAAGCTGTGAGTTCAAATCCCAACCTATCTTCAACTCACACTTTGTTTCATTGTTTTTTTGGTGATCAAGCAGACTTGTTGTTGTTCACGGTTGTTGTTGTTGGAGCTCCCGAACTGACTGACACTTGACTGGCTTTCACTGCGCTGCATGTAGATCTTCAAGCACTAGCGGCTCGCGTGGGTACGGGTGCTGATTAGCAAGTAGGACAAGCGTAAGAGGCGATTTGAAAAAAGGACACTGATATGGTGTTGCTTTTATGTCTCATACAAAGACGCATCATTACGACGAACGGGGATAACACTAAAAGTCAACATGCAGGCAGTCTCACTCAGCTTCTGATGGGCAGGGGACAGGCACGCACTGCCTTTGTGATTCGAGACGAAGAGAGGTGGAACAAGCTATGAAACGACCCGTGCAGCAGCTGTCCGGATCGTACGTTTTGAGCTCTTCCTCCAGCGACAATAGTAGCGAGGAGGATGTGTAACTTGCTTGAATTTTCGACTGAGTTGCTTACTGACATGTAAAATAATCATGTATATAGTGCTTTGTGATCGTGGCTTGCTTCAAATATTCGTATTTCAGTTTTAACTGGGCGGACCAAATATAAGAAAGCAAAAAAAGTTAAGGTATGCTATGTCGTGGTCAATCTACTATTGCCCTCATAACCGGTCAATATAGGTTACATACACCTCATAAAAGACCTCGGGGGACCTCGGTCGTTTACTCGTTCTATATCTCATATATTGACCTCTTCAATCATGCAAGATTAGATACATGTCCACCAAGCCACAGAAACAAACCAAGTAACTATTTACCTGAAGCTATCGACTAGTTTTTGACTCTTTTAAACACAACTGTAGAAGTTTGTTATGTAAACTGTTTCCTTTGTGAAAGGTGTCTGATACAAATCACACGTTCTAGTTCTTACTTATTATAGCCAGTGGTTTGTGATATACAAAAATGTGGCTTCTGGTCAATATGCCATATTCTGCATTACAATATTCTCTTCTCCAACTACAGAGGCATGCCCGGCATTAAATATCGCACAAGCAATCTACAGTTCCACGACAAGAACAATTGGAACAACCGTAGCAGTGTCATGTAATCCTGGTTATCAGCTGCTTGGCCTGTCAACAGTTAACTGCATGGCTGGGAGAATTTGGACTCAGTTACCAACATGTGAAGGTGGGTTATTGGGGTCTTGTGCCTCTTTCATGTGGATATAATATTGGAATTGTGAGCTTGAACCTGATTATAGGATGCATGCCCCCTTATTTGTTCACAGACAACTTCTGGCCCTGCTGAATGTGTTGTTTCGCATATCATAAAATAATCTACTGTGTGTCCATGACAAAGACATTGATCTCTCTACTCTCAATGACTGAGCTGACTGCCCGTAAGAGGCATTGCGGTGGTGCTAACATGTGTTTGGTGTTATTTTGGTTTGCCCCATTTCAGATATTGTCTGCTCCACTCTACCGACAATAACAAATGGCGTGGCTGCACCAATAAGCACTGCTCGCTATGGAGTGGCGACAGTTCAATGTATGGCCGGGTACACTCTTAGTGGTAGTCTGACAACAACTTGCTTACCAAACGGTTCATGGGCACTCCCTATTGGCACATGCAATGGTAAATACCTACAACTTGTATTTGCTTCTTTTCGCCAGACAGTATAATGCCAGGGGGAGGGGGGGGGGGGGGCGAGCACTACACCGGATATGTGTGTTTGTACTTTGTGCTTAACAAAAAACTTTGAGATGGATATTTGAGGGACTGGTTTATGCACCAACTCCTGTGAAAGGAGTTGCGATGGTTTTCTCGGGATTCCCTGGTATGCCATGAAAGAGATACAATGAAAAGAAAGCAACTTTTCACAACAAACCGAGCGGAAAAATAAATAGTTGTGCTGTGGAAACATAGATCATGACAGTCATGGCGACGAAAACTGAAATACCACTTCACCGAGGGCATAGTGCGCTGCGTGGGCTCTCTACCAATGAGCTTGAGAGTTTGAGAGTGATTTAGGGCGTAGTGGTGCGGAGCAGAGATCCCACACAATGAGCGAGTGAACAAGCAGCTGCTCCAATCGCAAAGCTCAATTAAACATCTGAACTCAAGTTTTTATTTAACCTGCGCAAAGCCTAGATTCGAATGCTGAGTGCAACTCATGTCTGGAGCCCGACGTGAGTCTCTTGGCTAAGGGAAGTCGGCGGGATCTGCTCGCCGATGCCGTTCAGTGCTGACAGGAGCATCCACCAGAAATATAATTAATTGGCTGTGCCTTTTTCCTTGTTTCAAGGATCATTCTTGAGACTGGACGTGAAACCAGCGAAACATAACATATTTCTACAACTCCCTGGCGGAAACCAGTAACCACCCCCGAGGCGGATTCACACAGCTTGAAAGTCAACTTGAATGACGCCGATACCACCAAAGTTCAGCGAAGTATGATCAAACAAGGCTAAAAAGAGCTGAAAATTGTGAACAACCACTCTAGAGAGATGACAACTTGAGTGCAGCAGATGACAGCAGATGACGATACCTAGCGAAAGCGACGCAAACTGAACTCCTGGATCATTCCGTCAACAGTTTATCTTGTAAAACGCTGTACATCGGCTGAACTGCCTTCGTCCAGTGATTTGCAGTTGATACAAACTGTTCATGACCTGTTCTAAACGTTTTCATTGTCAATCAAAATCCATCCCGAATTTTTTTAACGGAGGCAGTAATGATTATACCAATATCAGATGAAGCTATCCTGGAATCTCCGCCTTATTATAACCAATGTGGGCGCAGAGAGCGGTAGTGCAAACCCTTTGAGATCCCAAATCGCAATTCGTATTGCCTTCCAGGCAATTCCTATACTGCACCATTTCTTCTTGTGGATGCACCATTGATTTCAACACGCCTTGGGGTTTGATGTCGCACACAGTTTGTGTTGTATCAGCGTTCTTTCTGGATTGTTGTTGTGCATGGCCTACCATCGCCTAAAAATTGCACTTTGGTTCCTCAAAATTATCCCCTAGGGCTGGTGATACCGATGCCGAAGTTGCTGACGTAGCCACCGAACGCCTACAATGTCTTCCCATATATAGGTCCAACCAGCTCTCATAGAGAGAGAAACCAAGAGAGAGAGTAGGGTTCACTGACTCTCACATTGAAAATCAGCACAACATCAAATGTGGACGGATTAGTTAATAGCACATTGTACGTGAAATGGTTTCTTTGGTATTATGTTTTTTTTCTCCAGCTATTACATGCCCAGTACCTACAATACCTGATGGAATGGCGACACCGGTTGTTGCTAGTGTGCCTCAACAGTATACAATATCTTGCTCCAGTGGATTTACACTCGTCGGATCAAACACTGTCACATGTCCAACTGCAAATGCCTTTACAACATTTCCCATTTGCCAAGGTATCAGCATATACCAAACCATTGGAGGCGAATTATTCCTCACATTTTTTCTCAGCGACAAATATACGTTGGACTTAGTAGGCACTCGCTGTCCTATAAACAGTCGGAAGTCCAGTAGGGAGTCGAACTCGTTCTCTAGTTGTATTTCTATGACTCCGTCAAACTCACGCCACATTCCGTGTAAAAAGTCGAGACTTCTAGAGATATTAGTTCATTGGAAATCTCTTGGTTATTAGAATATCGCTGTGCATCATCTGATGGTTCTGTGGTATTCAGGAAAGAATGCAATGAGCCCAAGGTCATCAAATAGTCATTGTCCACTGCAGCGCACTCTGAATGCAATTCCAGCTCCATACATTCGACAAACAGGTCACTTGCAGCGATGTCACCTTCCCTAGATCAGAAGTTTCATTTCAACAAATTCAAACCGCACATGGGAGCAATCCTGTAATATTCATATTTCGAAATGTGACAAAAGATTGGTCATGTTGGGAGACCAACCGACAAAAACCGAGGAATGTATTCAATGTTTTTCTTTTTCATTACAGTTCTCTGAAGGACATAAACGAACCTTATTCTTACATTCACTGGATATTTACGTAATATGCTCTTTCTCTTCGGGTGGTACCTTGTCGATAGTCTGTAGTTCCATAAATTACATATCACGTTTGCAGACCATATTCTGCTACTGTCGGATGAGATATGCACCCTGTTATTTTGTCTGGTCTTTAATTTTCCCTACACCTATTCAGCCAATACATGCCCTGCCCTACCTGTGATTACCAATGGATACGTCAGTGCTACTGTGGCTAGTTTTACAATTGGAGGTACCGCAAGTGTCTTATGTCTTCCAGGGTATGTAGTGACAGGGACAGCCACAATCACTTGCGGTAGTGGTGGTCAGTGGCCTAGTGGTACTTCTCTTCCTACGTGTACATGTAAGTTGAATCAACTTTCTTTTTCAAACAAACCTTGAAGCAGTGTTTTGCCTTCATCACATTGTTTGTCATGTCTTGAAAATCTCCTTAGTTGGTGTATATGTTGTATCTAACACATGCATGGTTTTGAGTGACTGGCCGGGTGACATACTCAGCAAGGTGATGTGGTAATCACGAAAGAAACTAGCAGTAACATAGAACATTATGCTGTATGAGTTAATCTGAACATTTCTTCAGGTTTATGACTAGTATACTCGTCATGGAGACCCCATTGCATCTGAACAATGACGAAACTCGCTCGATACTTCGTATACAGTGCACATACCATACACACTGGATCGATCACTGTACAAACAGCCACAACTCTAGAACGCAATATCGCATCGCCATAACCAATAGCCCATTGGAACGGTCTTGGACAGGGCTTTCCATAGGTGTGGCAGTAGCTAAAAAAAAGATCGACTGCCGATAAATTGAACACACAATTTCGATCTATCATTTTCTTACTTTCGGTCCGGCGAATATTTTGCGACATTTAAACCTTTACCATCCGACCAAATTTCCCCAGCAGTCCCAAATGCAATAATTCTCACCTTATTCTGAGAATATCTTCGGTTCTAATCAACCAATTTTCACAATCTTGGGCATTCTGGAAAGCTCTCCACGAGCTGCGTACATTGAGCTCAAACAGGACACTACTGAGATCACATATCCAGCGCCAGGGAGCTTCAAATACACCCCATCGCTGTATACACGAGGAAATTCTCTCCTCGCCAGCCATTTCTCGCTCCTTCATCGTAAACATTCCAATTTTTTTGCTTGAGTTTCTGTTCATGCTGCCCACGCGCTCGAAGCATGCCAAAGTGACTCAGCATCTCAGGGAAGGGGAAAATCCCCGCTCAAGGTCAGTCACTTGGAAAGAAATTCGACTTTTGCCGTAGCTGAAAAGTCGAGCGAAATATCTTTGGAATGCGACATCGCAGCCCTTTACCGATTGATGCAATGGAAAGCTGGGCTCTTCGGCTTCTTCCTAGATACTTAGTTCTTTAAATTCTGACAAGAATCGATCGAGTTATGAATGTTTTAGTGTATTCATGTCCATCGATCTCTAGAGATCGATTCAAGTAGGCACGGATGGTAAAGGTTAAGGCATTTTACCCTCTCAATATCAGCCATTCAAATATCGATCCACGTGGATCGATGCAATAGGCGATCACATAATATTTTGTCATACGTTCAACTATTGTCGTATTATTACAAATTAGGGCTCTATTTCTTCAGAAAGACCTTGATTATTGACTGCAACTATCGCTTTGACTCCTTGGTGCATAATTGGCGCACGACAAATCTCGAAGCTAGTGCGCGATCAAATATGCGCACTCAAACATTTTGAGTCGCCGTCACGCTGAGAATAATTCTGAAATCTTCTCGCTTACCTGTGGCATTTTGGGGCTGGAAATCCTCCGGGCTTTAGATATTTTCACAAGAACTTCGTCTGGTTTCTGTGAGCCACGATTTTACAAATCAGTGAGCCACTCGTGGTAGATTGCACTGCGCATATTTGTTCGAGTTTGAAAACGTCTTCTTCATCACAGCGCGGCACACACGAATGGCGCTTGGTGTTGTAGTTTCTATGAGCTCGTGGCTGCCATCATTAGCTTTCCAGAGAGTGGTTGTATATCAGAAATGGCCAAAGGAGAGCAGAGGTATAACAAAAGTTGTATTTTGTAGACTGTGAATTGACTCAATTGCGAAAATAATGTAAAAGTGGGGAGGCTTTCTGCAGTTTCATAAAACAGTTAAGTAGTAGAGCCCACGCGCTCTCTTCCATTAACACTGCAACAGTTCAACTCATTTCACAATATTACAACGTTTCGGCAAAGGATTTCGAGACAGTTTAATCGTAGTTCTACATTGAGTTTGAACCCCGAATCGAAGGATATTGTTGAGCACGATAGGGACACTGTTGGCAAGGCTAAGGGCGTCCTTGGGGTGCTGTATGCTCCGAAAGCACGTGGAAGATGACAACCAGGAAATAGTTTCCAGGAAACCTTAAATTGTGAAATCCGTTGACAAACGAGCTGCTATCTCCACAACTATACTGAAGCACTGAATCACAGTGCTCAGATGCAGTAACCCTGCTGTGACCGTGAATTGTTTAATGACTCATTTATTGTTGCCTATGCATTTGTGAAAATATCCACTAGGCGACGGTAATTGACTTATGAAAATGGGGATAGGTACATGCTCTACGGATGTCTTTATTAAAACCCTGTGTGTGTGGATGATGGAATGGTTACCATCTTATTGTGTACAATGCAGTACGAATGTGTCCAGCACTTACCCCACCGATAAGTGGTTCAATAGTCAGCAGCACCAGATTACCTTATGGAGTGACCATATTTGCATGCAATGATGGCTATCAACTGACAGGAAATAGTGCGACTGTATGCATGGCAAATGGTGCTTGGTCAACCACAACGCCGACATGTACAAGTAAGGTCCAATGCGCACAATGCATCATATGTTGATTTTCATGTTTCAGACCCCGCTACGTTGGGTTTGTCAATATTTGCAATATCTGTGACTCATGATACTAGAGCTTGCGCTTTTCGCCGCCTTAGGATATCAATAATCTGACTCGCTATTATCCTACAGAGCAAATCAACCGCTTCTACTAGGGAAATCTGCATGAGAATGCCACAACTGTGCTCTTATCCACTATTTCATGGAATTCAGCCTTCAGTTGAGCTTCAACAGGCTCGAGAAACATCTGATCAGCACCTCTGCCCATAATATAACCAGAATTAGACGGCGAGCTGGGGCAGTGACGATCATGGACTTTCAAAAAAGGGTCGGAGAACCCCCGGTCATTGGAAACGCTGTACCCGTTTGTTGCAAGTCAGCATTATGCACAAAACTTCAAAAATAGATGAAGAGCTTTGGGAGATTCACTTGCAGGAAAGTTGTATGCTCACCTTGGATTGACATTTTGCTCACTCGCAACTGGCACCAAAGGAATTTATCCCTCGCAGATCCAATGTCTCCTGTAAATGGCGCCGTGTCTGCTGGTGATCGAAATGCTTTCACGATCAGAACATACTCGTGCAATACCGGATATCAACTATCTGGAGCAACAACAACTGTGTGTTCTTACGTAGACAGACTTTGTATAGGAGTAGATGGGGAAAAACCAAGTTCCTTCCTGTTTCTGTGCAACAATGAAGTTCATACTAGAATTTTTTCCAATCGGGATACTGGTAAGGTGCCATATGCCCCATACCAAAGTTTGAAAAGTGACCCGACTTCTTTGGGACAATGGAGAGCCAAAACACTTGAATTTCACCATCTACTCCCATACCAAGTCTATCTCTCTGATGTCATAAATCTGGGCAATATAATGACTTCATCATGATGTCCTCAAAGTTAGTGCCAACTTCAAGCTGGTATAACTTCAGAACGGCTGCTCTCATCAACCTGAGACCTTCACCATTGGAATCACTCCATTTTTGCTACAGGTTGTGAAGTTTTCATTTTAGGGTGAACTTCCCCTGAAGGCAAAAAACTGTTCGTGCTTTCAAGCTGATTCTTCTCAACGAGCAGCACAAAAGCCTTATCTTCATGCGAAACTTTCTCGATTCCGTGGCAAAACTCCAGAAACAAGGCTGAGTCACATCAAATTGCTCCATAACCAAATTGAAAGCTGCTGTCACGAAAAATGCAGGTCTGATCAAAAAGGCGAGTGAGACGCGCAAAAAATAGCACAGGACAGTTCAAGCTCTTGATCACGGCATGGGCATAACTTTGGCGAACAGGTTATATTTGGTACTCATATCTCTGGGAACTTGCCTGGTGATATGACATTTCCCCCAAAGCTGACTTCCAAGAGCTTTGTCATCTTCACCAAAAATTCAAATCTCATCGGAAAATCAGCTGGCTTTTGAGTGGCCGTTTTATTGCCCGCTTTCCAGTGGCGTTTTTGGGTTTTCGATTTCTCAAGAAAATGATGGAGCGGGAAAAATTGAATGCAAGCTTCGATCTGAACTTCTTTTGCAGTTTCAATCTAGTGATATTTTTGGATTCTTTCAAGCCATTCAAGAGGGCAAAAACGAGATGCTGCTTTCACGTGTAAAGGGGCAAATTCAGTATCTCTTGAACAAATTTAATCCTACAAGTTCTTTGTAGTTTGGTGCTGGCTGCACGGCAGTACTTCGAGGCTGCTTGTTGTTGTACACGACAACGAGGTTCGACTGAAACGGAGCGAAATCATTGTGTTTACTACTATCGTTTACACGACAACGCTCGAAACCGATACCTAAACAAAACGGAATGGAAACGCACTTCAAAGTGTTTTGAAACGTTTTCAAGACGTTTTCCAAAATTTTTCGTTCTCGTGTAAGTGGTGAAAACAGTGAAAACATTTGGAAACCAAGCGCAGTCATGGAAATAATTCCCCATGGGACTATATTGCGCGGGAAATATCCAACCCTTGCGCCCGTCAGCAGGTGCCAACTCCAACTAACGTGTTACTTCCCGCTCTTGCGACAATCCAGCATGTGTTAACTCCAGCCTGATCACCCGTTTACATTGTGCACTGAATGTATACAAAGAATAGCACTTTCCAAATTTATGAATTGAATTGAACGTAACCTTGGTTTTCTTTGGATAATTTGTATCCTGTTGTGCATCATGGAAAACTCGTGACAAGAGGAACACTGTAAACTCCAAATTATTCCCAATGGATGTGCTTGAACAGGACTGCAAGCCAGCGAACGGGATTTGCGCTGTCGATCCATCTACATCCGCAATTTAACCCATTGCGTGCGGATGACTTGTATATACACGTGACTGAACCCCATGCCGGTTCGCCGAACTCAAAAGGCGTTGGTGCAAAACCAGTGGTGATTCCGCATTCAAAATATGATTCGAACCATTTCAAAACTGGAACCCTATAATACGGATTTTGATGCAAACTGGCTGCACATGAAGGAATTCTAGTTTAGGCCATCATTCGAAAATTGATGGAATTGATTGTACTTGCTTTCCATTTCACCTCCTCCAAAATTTCTTCCATAGACAGCCATAAAAATAATAGAACAAACACATAACAATGCACTTTTACATCAAATGCAACCCCAAGACAGTTTTTTGCGTTAGACATTTTTATGATCCAAATCTGAAAATTGCATCTTTTTGCATGTCATTCTGTGTTGTGAAGGCATCATGTGTAGCAGTCAAGCTGCTCCTTCTAATGGAGCTATTGCCAGTATGTCATTGGAGGTTAATGGTGTAACAATTTTCACCTGCAATTCCGGATATAATGTAGTTGGAAGCAGTGCATCTGTTTGTCTTCCAAATGGAACTTGGTCGACCTCCGAGCCAACTTGCCAGCGTACGTATTATGATTATTGAAGTTAATCTGTAAAAAAATAAGACATCAGTCATAAGAGAGTCAGAGCCAAAGAAATGACGTGGATGCAAGCATTGTATTCATGGCTAATCGAAGAAAAACTTGAGATGTCAGGTGGTTTCCCAGCAATTCCCGTAAGGTGTGTTATGGGATCCAAGTGTGGCTAAGCTGTTCTGCCTTTAGCATGGTTTTCTGTTGTATTTTTTCGGTCTATTTGTGATTCTGGTGTTATAGCAATACAATGTCCTGCCAACCCAGTGTCTCCTATGAACGGCGCCGTGTCTGCTGTTGGTCGAAATGCTTTCGCGATCAGAACATATTCGTGCAGTACCGGATATCAACTTAGCGGAGCAACAACAACTGTCTGTCAAACAACTGGAGCATGGTCGGGAACACCACCAACATGCACTCGTCAGTACTATGTGATAACCGTGTTTTCATTTATATCAAGGTTTATATAATAGTTGATTTGTGCTGAAGCCAGAAGGTCTGCAAATGAAGTATGAATAGAGAAAATAATCTGTACAAGTCATGTGATGTCAGGGTGTGCATGTCTAATTCATATCTAGCCTTCTTCTTGGCAGTACATGTAGTATATTCAGGGCATGCTCACAATGCTCACAATATGCTCACAATGTGTCAATCCTTGATATGTCATATCAAGGATTGACAGTTTGGTAGGTAAACGGAAGCAAAATCAGAGGTTATAATCGAGTCATATTATAAAGCAGGACAGCATCCGACCATAGTTAGGGTGCAAGCGGTATTCGACTTTGAGAGAGGCAGTTTAACCCTTAGCCGGTCTAACTCAATGTATGTGAGGGGTTGTCACGCAAATACATGTACACACAACCAGCAATAACTCAAGAACCATGTGATGTAGGTATGGGTAATCCATATATTTTCGAAATCTGTATGCCTGAACGCGTCCAGAAAATTCAAATATGACTAGGTCCAGGCAAGGATACGGCCCATGGTAGCCCTTCAAGTTGAGAGATAATACAATTGCGAATGAAATACACGAATATCACAGCACGAAAGGCATACCAAGTTCGTGATGGAGCTGAAGTCATACGATAAACAGTCAGGTAAGGGCTACGTCTTTACAAGGAATGTAGGCTCTCTACAATACCGCCATTGAACACCAACACCTCGCCATCGGCGATACGCCAGCAGCAGCAATTCCCATTCCACGATATCGCAGTTTCGGTTTGTTCATCTCAGCGCTGCTCGCGTCAGATTCACTCTCGCTCAGATGAGTACTCAGGCGCGAGCTTACGCATGCCGTGATTCTCACGGCCAGGCGAATCAGCTGATCGCACCTAACGAGTCCTTGTGACAGTCGCTGTCGCGGTGTCGGCAGCAAGAAGGCTTCCTCTCTGTTTGGAGATTTTTGTTTCTTCATTCGTGGACGATATATTTTTGAACTAGCAGGACTCAACGGAGCTCTTTTTCTCAATACACTACACTGCAAAACCTCCCGAGACATCCAGCCTGGACTGGTGATGTTACTGCTCTCAGAACGCTTGTCAAACACGGCCCCAAGAGATGCACTCGCATTCTTGAAATGCGCGCATGGCGGATGGTCGTCTTTTCCAATTTCAACAAACTTCAGTCGATCGATACGGCAAAAATTTGTATGGTAAGCATGGTTGTTTTGCACATCGTCAGAAAGCCTTGGACCTCCGCTACGCGTAGAGCGCCATTTTAACTGTCTCCTAGCAACAAGACCCCAAAAAAATGAGGGCCAAACGTACCGATACTATGTATCGGTACGCTTATGGTAGACCGGTAAAGGGTTAAACTGTTACCTAAGATATAGTCGTAGAGACGTGATGATTTTTCCTCATTTGTTGGCATTGATTTCTTGGGGTTACTTTTATAGAAAGACTTTTGCTCCCCACCCCAGAGCTTGCGCATTTTTAACAAAATCGATTTTGCATTTGTTAAGGAATGTAAATGAAAAGATAATGGAGAAACATTTCTTTTTCCTTCTTTGTAGAAGTACATAGACGCCATATATCTCCATGCCCCTTATCTCAATGAACACTTAACCCCAGGAGCACGGTTATACAAAGTTCTTGTTGGCTCTCCCTGTAAGATCCGTTGGCTTTAGAACTCCCCAGCATTCCTGTGGGACTCAAATCAGCAACAAAAGATGAGCCCGAGGGTGATACGGCAAACTGTGGCCATGCAGCATTGCAAGTCAAGTACTGCTGTATATACAATCTTTATTGCATTGGCATACTGCTGGGGCTCTCCGTGAGGTTGAGTGGAGGCCGAGTTGTCTGGAGTTGGTCGGCTGCATTCAGACCAGTAATCGAGTCTGAGAGATCATCAGGGGCTACGGGTGGAGTATCAAGCTGGCTGACACCTCAGCCACTGAGCTGCTTTTGTGTTGCGGCTTCCAAGTGAGACTATTCTGACTTCAATGTTTGCTGGTTCCTGTCCTTTGCAGGTGTTGTGTGTAGCGGTCAAGTTGCACCTTCTAATGGAGCCATTGCTAGCATGTCTTTGGAGATTAATGGTGCAACTATTTTCACCTGCAATGCTGGATACAATGTAGTCGGCAGCAGTGCTTCAGTTTGTCTTCCAAATGGAACTTGGTCGACTTCGCCACCAACTTGCCAGCGTACGTATACGATTATTGAAGTTACAATAAGAAATCAATCCTCGAAGAGCCAGACCCGAAGAAATGTCGATACAGGCATTGTATTCATGGCTAAGGGGAAGAATTAGAGGTGGAATAAGAAGAGACGTCAGGTGGTTTCCCTGCATTTCCCGTCAGGTGTCTTATGAGATCTAGGTGTGGCTAAGCTGTCCGGCCTTTGGAATTCTTCTTAAGTCACTAGATGTTAGTTTGATTGTTCTTTGTTCATAGTCAGTCAGTATTTCCTGTTCTGGCATGTATTTCTGTTGATGTTTTTTTGGTATATTTGTGATTCTGGTGTTATAGTGATACAATGTCCTGTCAACCCAGTGTCTCCTACAAACGGCGCAGTGTCAAGTGGTGCTCGTGATGCCTTCACGAACAGAACGTACTCGTGCAGTATGGGATATCAACTTTCTGGCACAACAACAACTGTGTGTCAAACAACTGGAACGTGGTCGGGAACACCACCAACATGCACTCGTCAGTACTATGTGATAACATTGTCTTCACTTATGTCCAGGTTGTTTGAATGTTGGAGTTGGAAAAATTGCAAAATGACTTGAGAAAGAGTGAATGATTAGGACTGCTGTTTTACAAATCACCTGTTGGCTCTGGCTTTCAGGTCTGTTGGCTTTAGAACTACCCAGTGTTTCCGAAGGACGCAAACGAGCCGGGAAGGATGAGCCCGAGGGCGATACTGCACACTGTTTTCATGTAGCATTGCAAGTCAAGTGCTGCTGTTTCTGCCGTGTTTATTGCGTAGGCACGGTGCTTGGGTTCTCTATGAGGTTGAGCGGAGACCGAGCTGCCTGGATTGTGTCAGCTGCATGCAAACCAGTCATCGAGTCTGAGTTATCATCAGGGGCTACTGGTGGAGTATCAATCTGGCTGAGACCCCAAACGCTGAGCTACTTTCTGCTGCGGCTTAGAAGTGAGACCATTCTGACTGCCTTGTTTGCTGGTTCCTGTGTTTTGCAGGTGTTATGTGTAGTGGTCAAGTTGCACCTTCTAATGGAGCTATTGCTAGCATGTCTTTGGAGATTAATGGTGCAACTATTTTCACCTGCAATTCCGGATACAATGTAATCGGCAGCAGTGCATCCGTCTGTCTTCCAACTGGAACTTGGTCGACTTCCCCACCAACTTGCCAACGTAAGTATACGATTATTTAGGTGAAAATAGGAAATCTATCCTTGGAGAGCCAGAGTCGAAGAAATGTTGATACAGGCATTGTATACATGGCTGAGAGGAAGAATAAGATGGGACATCAGGTGGTTTCCCTGCACTTCCCGTCAGGTGTCATAGGAGATCCAGTTGTGGCTAAGCTGTGCTGCCTTTGAAATTCTTCTAAGGTCACTAGATGTTACCTTGACTGTTTGTGGTTCATAGTAAGTCAGTATTTCTAATTCTGGCATTGTTTTTCTGTTGATATTTTGTTTGGTGTATTTGTGATTCTGGTGTTACAGTGATACAATGTCCTGTCAACCCAGTGTCTCCTATAAACGGCGCCGTGTCTAGCGGTGCTCGAGATGCCTTCACGAACAGAACATACTCGTGCAATACCGGATATCAACTTTCTGGCACAACAACAACTGTGTGTCAAACAACTGGAGCATGGTCTGGATCACCACCAGCCTGCACTCGTAAGTACTATGTGATAACCTTGTTTTCATTTATGGCCAGGTTGTGTGAGAAGTTGAGTGGTGCTGAAGTCAGGAGGTCTGTAAATGAAGTAGGAATATAGAACATAATCTGTTGAAGTCATGTGATGTGAGGGTGTGCATGTACAATTCATATTATTACCTCTCCTTCGTAGCATTAGTATGTGCTGAGCATGTTCACACATTAACCCTTGCTATGCCATGGACGCGTATACGCGTTTTTTTAGTATGAACCGATTGGCCATGGACGCGTTTACGCGTTCTGCCTCCACTGTACAATGCACACTGTAGACTGCATGTGTATTGCGTGCTAAAGACGAGTGTACAAACTGTCATAACTCCGTCAAAATATCTCAGACTGCTAAGGTTGAGACAACGTTGGAAAGGTCTTGAGCTCATCTTTCCAGGAATATAACGTTCTTCGCGATACGACAAGGCATGACCGAGCGATGACAAATTGAACGGCCAGAATGCCCAAATTTCACTTTTTGGCGATCGATTCAAAATGTTTTTTTCGCAACTCCCTGCGGGCTAGGGGATTTCCCCTAGAGACAGCGCGTGCACAGTCAGCTTAAAAAAAAATCGCTTGAATCTCGACTTTCCAACGCAGTTTGAATTGTGAAAATCAGTTCACAATGAGCAAGAAGACGAAAGAAAACATGAGAGGCCGTCATTTTGTTATTCTCAACAATGGTAGGGGGACTAGGAGAGGAGATGGAAGTGGCCCTGGTATGCCTGTCACGCTGTGAGTCCCTGAAATGGCTTCCTGTGGTCCAAATCTTTCCAACAAGCCATGGATCGTGAAAATCCATCAAGGTACAGTGAAATAGCCAAAAAAATTGTTCTGACGTGCGCGTGAAGCTTTGAATAGGTGAGCTCAGCGCCTGAACAATGCGTGGCCAACACAGGAAAACATGCTGGCATGGAAAGAGTTAATTAAAGATTCACAGTTTGGCAGGTAAAGGGAAGCAAAATGGGTATGATCGAGTTTAGGTGAGACAGAATCCGACCACAGTTAAGGTCCAAGCGATATATAATTGGGATAGAGTTACTACAACAAAAGTAAAGTATATCTTGCTTATTTCACGTAGTTTCCATTGATATGGTTAAAGTTGATGTTTTATGCTCCAGTAGTAATTCTGTTGGACTCTGTGGGCTGTTGAATATCTGTAGGCAGGCGTGCTTCCCGTATGCAATCTAAATCACTATACCCTTTGAGGCTTATAGTACCGGGGAAAGGATGTGATTGTCATTTTTAGTTCAAATAGAGGTAGATAGCGTACCTAACATGACAAATCTAACTGATGGATATGCAGAAAACTGGGTTGAGAAAACTCAAAGTACAATAGAACCTGAAACTGAAGACCACCGTGACTAGCGACCAGCCTCGTAATAGAGACCACTTCGCCAGGCACGGAAGGTCTCACCGTCATATATGGTTGTGAGGTGGAAACCTCTAACTAAGGACCACCTGCCCCTAAAGACCGCTTTCTCTGGCCCCAAGGGGCGGTCGTTAGTTACAAGTTTTACTGTATCATAAATCTATGGCCACAGGTGGGAAGGCAACTTTACAGCACGAAAGTAAACACACTGGTTTCAAGTGCCCTTTTCTCAGTTGTGCACGTGAGGAAAATAGCAGCCTCTTCTCAGCCTAATGCTCATGTGTGTATCCGTGGTCAGTGCATGCTTTTCAAAGCGGAACCTGGCGTGCCTCGGCTGTCCCCTGGCCAAATTGGACGATCGAAAGGAATTCAGAATTTTTCTCCACAGTCGGCACAGAAAACCCCCAATGCTAACTGAGCTCAGAGCTCAGAGTCTAGAACTAAACGTGCGGAGACAGCTCAGCCGCGTCTATTTTCAACTCATCTTTACAGGTTTCTCTGATTTGCAGTCCACACAATAAGGGATTACCCGTGTCATTGTAAAGGCAAATTACTCAGCTCCCCGGTAAAAAGATTTAAGCTTTCTGTGATAAAAAAATGGATCTGTTGAATGTCTTGAAGTGGACATAAACGAGAATTTGCAGCTGTTCTAGCATGTGTAAATCCAGCTTATGTTCTCATGAAATGTTTTGCACTGTGTGACTTTTAATTCAGTTGTAGATTGTCTTCCTTGCGATGTGATTTGACTAATAGCACTTGGTTCTGGTTCAAAGTTCACACTATCTTACCCCAGCCATTATTTATGGATTAAGCGGTGGCATAATCTCTGAAAGAGTCACAGCTGGCAAGAGCTGAGCTTGAGCACTGGACCTCTTTCAAAGTCCTAGAGGGAACGTTGTTCGTTTTCGTATAGGTTATGAAGATATGACTACGTCATGTGTTTGAGTCAGAATAATTGCAAAATGACTTGAGGGAGAGTGAATGACTAATACTGCTGTTTTAGAACGCACCGGTTGGCTCTCGCTTTCAGTTCTGATGGCTTAAAGAACTACCCAGTGCTTGCGCAGAACACAAACGAGCCGGAAAGGATGAGCCCGATGGTGATACTGCACAATGTTTTCATGTAGCATTGCAAGTCAAGTGCTGCTGTTCCTGCCATGTTTATTGCGTAGGCATGGTGCTTGGGCTCTCTGTGAGGCTGAGCGGAGTCTGAGCTGCCGGGATTTCGTCAGCTGCATGCAAACCAGTCATCGAGTCTGAGTGATCATCAGGGGCTACTGGTGGAGTATCAATCTGGGTGAGACCCACCCACTGAGCTACTTTGTTTTGCGGCTTCGAAGTCAGACCATTCTCATTTCAATGTTTGCTGATTCCTGTGCTTTGCAGGTGTTATGTGTAGTAGTCAAGTTGCACCTTCTAATGGAGTTATTGCTAGCATGTCTTTGGAGATTAATGGTGCAACTATTTTCACCTGCAATTCTGGATACAATATAGTCGGCAGCAGTGCATCTGTTTGTCTTCCAACTGGAACTTGGTCGACTTCGCCACCAACTTGCAAGCGTACGTATATAATTATTCCAATTAATTAAAAAAAGGAAATCAGTCATTAGATAGTCATAACCAAAGACAACTGTGGATACAGGCATTGTATTCATGACTAAAGCGGGATTCACAGAAGCTATTTTGCGATGCGACACGCGATGCGACAGACGCAAAACCGGGAAAACCCCAAATAGCAGCCATGTCGCACCCAACGCAACTGCCGCAACTAAACCATCGCAGGCCATCGCAGAAGTTGAGCTTGGCTCAACATTTGCGATGCGATGCGATGCGACGAGCGATTTGGCGTACGATTTTGACCTTTTTTACAGCAAAGTTGTACAAGGGTGCAAGAGTTGCCTATAAATTTGTAAAGTTGTATCAAACCGCGCGAATATCATGGTGACGTACCCAAATCAGCAAGACTTTGTCGCATCGCTGACTTCTTCTGTGAATGGTATTTCGCGAGTTCGCATCGCCTGCGTCCATCGCAGATCGTGTCGCATCGCGTGTCGCATCGCGTGTCGCATCGCAAAAAAAGCTTCTGTGAATCCCGCTTTAGAGGAAGAAAAAGAAGAAGAATAAGATGAAGCGTTTTGGCGTACGATTTTGACCTTTTTTACAGCAAAGTTGTACAAGGGTTCAAGAGTTGCCTATAAATTTGTAAAGTTGTATCAAACCGTGCCAATATCATGGTGACGTACCCAAATCAGCAAGACTTTGTCGCATCGCTGACTTCTTCTGTGAATGGTATTTCGCGAGTTCGCATCGCTTGCGTCCATCGCAGATCGTGTCGCATCGCGTGTCGCATCGCAAAAAAAGCTTCTGTGAATCCCGCTTTAGAGGAAGAAAAAGAAGAAGAATAAGATGAAGCGTTAGGGTGTTTCCCACCATTTCCCTTCAGGTGTCTTATGAAATTCAAGAGTGGCTAAGCTGTGCTCCCTTTGTGAATTCTTCAAAAATCATGAGATGATAATATTCGATTGTTTGTTGTTCATAGTAATTCAGCATTGCCTGTTCTAGCATGTTCTTCTCTCGATGTTTTTTTTGGTGTATTTGTGATTCTGGTGTTATAGGGATACAATGTCCTGACAACCCAGTGTCTCCTACAAACGGCGCAGTGTCTGCTGGTGGGCGAAATGCTTTCGCGATCAGAACATACTCGTGCAGTACCGGATATCAACTTTCAGGAGCAACAACAACTGTGTGTCAAACAACTGAAGCATGGTCGGGAACACCACCAACATGCACTCGTAAGTACTTTGTGATAACCTTGTTTTCATTTATGTCCAGGTTGTTTGAATAGTTGAGTGGTGCTGAAGTCAGATCTGTAACTAAAGTAGGAATAGAGGAAATTGATTATTGAAGTCAAAGAATGAACATGTCTAATGCATATCTTACCTTTTTCTAGGTGGTAGTAAGTGCTGAGCATGTTCACATATCAAATATTCACAGTTTGGCAGTCCTTTCCGGGTTTATGGTGAGTGCAGTCGTCATGCAGACCCCATCGCGTCTGGGCAACGACATATTAGCGCTATACGTTTCGTACAGTGCACATACCATACGCACTGGATAGATCACTGTACAAGCAGCCATAACTCTGGAACGAAATGTCGTATTACCACGATCAATACCGTATTGGAACAGTCTTGAAAAGGGCTTTGCACAGGTGATTCCGGTGTGGCGTTAGCTCAACAAATGTTTGAGTGACGACGATCGCGCGATTTTGATCTCAACTTTTTTCTTACTTTCTGTCCGGCACCGTTTTGCGATTTTCGAGGGATTCGATGGGACTTCCCATACCATGAGCACAATTTTTTTACGGTTTGAGAGAGCATGTCTCAGTAAACACGAACATTTGTGCAAGTGAATCTCTCCCATTTCGCTCACATTTTGCAGGTAAGTTTCGTTTGGGTTGTAGATCGACTACGCAAAGCCCGCGGAAAGTTTCTGAAGGGTACCTTGAAATTGACATACCCTCAAAAAGAGAAAAAAAAATCCACATGATAAAGTCAACTTCGCTAATAACGACTGCGGATATAACGACTAATTGCGAATAACGATATAATTTTCATGCCCAGAGCAAAGTCCCATCCAATTTTGAAACAAATAATGAGACTTCGGGTATAACGACACTTCGCGAATAAGGACACCTTTCTGAGTGTCGTTATGAGCGAAGTTATCTGTATATGAGACTAGAAATGAGACATGCCTCAGCGTACCAGAACAAGCTACAAAAAGCTTAGCCACGCCAGCATCCCAGAAGACGAGGTCGTCATCTCTGATGCCATAATGGTCGTCTTGAAAATAGCCAAATTACAACCGCTGATGAAACAGCGAGCTACGTCCTCAATTAGCGAACACTATTTACCAGCAGTTAGGTTGAGTTGGGTAACTCCGCTCTTCTTCCTCGCTCACCGGAGGAATTTCTCTAGTCTCCTCGCGCAACTGGGGAGCACTCCAATGGAGAGAGAAAGATTTTTATAGGGCGGCTTGGTGTGAGAGGTGGACTGAGACTTGACGGCGAATATCAAGACCTTACGGCCACGGAGCTGCGGGACTCTGCGCTGGTCGTCTATCCGTGTGGAGGCAAAGCAAATGCGGGCAACATTCTGCTGAAGCGAGCGTGGAGCTGAAGCTGGATTGGTGACTGACGTACCTGCTTACTCCACAACACCGGCGCATAATGATGTGCATGTACAAGACTTCGTGAGTATTCAACTCAAATTCGTGTTCCGTCAGCGTCAGTATCAGCAAGTACAGTCATGTAGTACAATTTGTTCCCTAAATAACTTCGGGACAGTCTGTTCATGGTTTTCATTTGTATTGGACTCGTTCTCTATACTTGCGATAATTTAGCGGCAATTCTAACGTTGTAGCGTTGTTCTCTTGTAATTTAGTGGAACCTGTATTGAGTAACTGAGTTTTATGTTTCGTTACATTGTCGTCAGATCTCCTGTGTACCGGTTTTGTGGCACAATGATTATAGCCATTTGGTCGTCTCCATTCTTGTGCAATCATGCATATGTAGGTTGGTTCTCTTCATGTTATTGTGACCAATTTCATAGATGTTGGCTGCCTTGTTGCTTTCTCTCCCCTCTCCTCTCACCCAAGCCATTCTGCATAAGCGAAGCTGTGGACGCAGCATACTGCTGCTACACTTCAACGCGGGAATGCGTATAATAATAAATAATAATAATAATTTACCAGCAGATAGTAGAACAACTCTTCTTACATTGAGCACATGTCCCCATCATCCTTTTTGGGTTTTCTTGAAAAAAGCAATTTTGAATTTTTCCACTTGACCGTGCTGAAATACGGCCAAAGTCATACCTGCACAGGAAAGCTTGCCCCTTCGCGACATCTAGTCAGCAATTTCTACTCCAACACTACTCATAACGGTGCAGAATAAAGTGTTTTGGTGACTCTGATAAGGAAAAACAGCGCTGATTATTTGTCACTCCAAATGACAAGCTTCTCCTTGCGCCACCAAACTTTTCCGTGCAACAGTTGATGCAAAATTGACTGAAGATTTTCTTGTAGTTTTTGAATTTTAAGGCAAAAGGAACGATGAAATCACGTGCCTCGTGACGCAAGAATGCCAAGCCTTGTAGATCGCGATTCACATTTACCTTTCTCACCTGCAAATATTTATCAAATCTACACTTGGTTTCACATTGCTCGCTGCTCATGTCATCACGACTTCAATAGTGCTAGCTTTAGAATATTAGTGTTTTAGAACAAACACTCTTCACTTTATGGTACCATAAAATAATATCTTTCCTTGATTGTCCCACTCTTAGCGTTATGCCTATTTCTGATGATTATCACGTGGAAACGACGTCTAAGTCATATTATAATATTGTTCCATTGTTCTAGTGGTATGAGTGTGCTGACTTTACCTTCACAGTATGGCAATCTCGAGCACTTTACGACCCCACCTTCAGGAGTATCAAATGTAATTTTTGATCAAACTTGGAATTTTTACTGCAAATACAGGTCCCACATTGTACTTGGTCCGCCCAGTTAAAATTGGCGCTTATCTTCACACTTGTCTCAGGAAAGAAATACGAATATTTGAAGCAAGCCACGATCACAAAGCACTATAATACATGATTATTTACATGTCAGTAAGCAACTCAGTCGAAAATTCAAGCAAGTTACACATCCTCCTCGCCACTATCGTCGCTGGAGGAAGAGCTCAAAACGTACGATCCGGACAGCTGCTGCACGGGTCGTTTCATAGCTTGTTCCACTTCTCCTCGTCTCGAATCACGCTCAAAGGCAGTGCGTGCCTGTCACCTTCCCATCAGAAGCTGAGTGAGACTGCCCGCATGTTGACTGTAAGTGTTATCCCCGTTCGTCGCAATAATGCGACTTTGTTTGAGACAAAAAGGCAATGCCATATCAGTGTCCTTTTTTCAAATCGCCTCTTGCGCTTGTCGTACTTGCTGATCAGCACCCGTACCCACGCGAGCCGCTGGTGCTTGTACATGCATGCAGCGCAGTGATAGCTTCCGCTGGATGTAGCACCTGTGCGTACTGCACGTGCAACGCCGTGCACCAGGCTTTTCGGCTAGTTTCCTGAAAGTCCTTTGCACGAGTGTTTCTCTCAGGACTTGGTGTTTCCTTTGATTAGCTCCTTTGCCCTGTCCTCTGTGAGCTTCAAAGTGTGTCCGCCGGATTGGTCTCACTTACTGGAGACATCGACATGAGCTGCAGTTTCTTCGTCAGCGATTTGCTGGTGATAGCCCTTCACTAGGCGCTGTACTGTGCAAGCACTGAAATTCAAGCTCGCGAAGCGCTTTTTCAGCTTTTCTATACCTCCCCGGGGTAAACAATCCTTACCATCAGACAGCTGGAAGCAGACAGAAACTGTACTCTCCATCGCTCTGAAATGCGAACATCCTGACCTATTTTACGGACTCGAGCGGAGGTTGCAGTGTTTTCTTGCGCTGACGGAAGTGTTCGTCGGCGGCAGCTCCGTCAAAAAGACTCAAACGAACCGATCGCAACTTCTGTGATGGTTTGTGCTGCCATGTCGTCGGATGCAATGGTCAATGGTTATGTTCGGATGGTGAATCGGTGGTTCCATGCCGTGTGGCACAGGCAGAACACCAAAAAACCAAGTGAGAAGATAAGCGCCAATTTTAACTGGGCGGACCAAGTACACGAAACAAGTAGTGATTTTTTCAGACCTAGGTTGTATCAAAGCTGAGATCAACTGAGGCAAGCGCACCGGAGACTGGAAATTGCAAATTTGAATGACTAATTTCATAACAGAAGATGCAATCTGACAGCTCACATAGTTCAGGCTTGTAGATTTCGGCTCTAAGAAATACCATCATCTTCTGACAATATCTGATGTTAGGCATATTTGCTGTTTCCTGTGTATTTTTGTAGGTGTGCTGTGTAGCAGTCAAGTTGCTCCTCTGAATGGAGCTATTGCCAGTATGTCTATGGAGATAAATGGTGCAACTATTTTTACATGCAATTCGGGGTACAATTTAGCTGGCAGCAGCGCGTCTGTGTGTCTTCCAAGTGGAAATTGGTCAACTTCACCGCCAACTTGCCAGGGTAAGTACATGCTTGAAGATCCTTCTGCATCTGCAATTTTCTGCTCTAGTTGGTGGGAGCTCTGTATTCATTCACGCACAATATGTATAGAATAAACAGTGACAACGTGTCTAAAGTCCTTGCTGCAAATAGTGCTCAATACCTCAAAAAAGGCAGGGCGTACTACAGAAGGCAGAACAACAGACGATGAGTGTTTTCAACACGAAACTTGGAGTGAGGAGAAAGATGTTTGGTCTCTGTTGTTCTGCCTTGTGTATGATAAACAGTAATGTCGTAGCGTTGATGGGAATATAAACACTGCTTAAAAAACAAATTGAAACTGCAGTTTTTTATAAACAGCATATCATTAAAACAATGCAGGGGTGTTTATTCTATTTAAAACTACAACGCACATCCGTTTTTGGCCTGAAATACTGGTCCGAAAATAGCTAGTTAGTATCCCAGTATACTATAGTTTAGTATTATGTGTAGGCAGCATTGGGTGGTCCAGACCTAAGACACATCTTTCAACGAACTTCAGCATCGCAACCCCTGTGGCTGAGTGGTCAACGTAGGTGCTTTGGAATCTTGTGGTTTCAGGTTCAAATAGTGCTGAAATTCTTTAAGAGAGCATGTCTGAGAATACCAAAGTATGTGTGCAAGTGGATCTCTCCAATTTCGCTCAAAAATTGCAGGTACGTTCCCTTTGGGGTGTGGATCGATGGTGCAAAGCCCTTGAAAAGTTTCTGAAAGGAACCTTGAAACTTGCGCACCCCTCAAAAATGGCCGAAATAGCACAGTATTTATGGATCTAGAAACGAGTCAAGCTCCAGCAAGCCAGCAGATAGTAGAACACCTCTTCTAGCGCTGAGGATCGTCTTGAAAATAGCCAATCTACAAGTGCTGTCAAACCAGCCAGCTACTTCCTCAATTGGCAAGAACTATACACCGGCAGGTTGTAGAACACCTCTTCTAGTGCTGAGGACATGTCCCCCATCTTCCTGTTGGGGTTTTCTTGAAATAAACCTTTTTGAATTTTTCCACTCGACCATGCTGAAACACGGCCAGAATCATACTTGCGCAGGAAAGCTAGCCCCTCCGCGACATCTCCTCAGCAAATTCTACTCCAACACTACTCGCTACAACACAGAACAAAGTGTATTGTTGACTCTGACAAGGAAAAGCAGCGGTGATCACTTGTTACTCCAAACGACAAGCTTCTCCTTGCGCCACCAACAAGTTTAGTGCGCCGTTGATGCAAAAGTAACTGAAGTCCTGGGCGCAGTTTTTGAATGTTATTGCAAGATGCACGGTGAGATCGCGTGCTCTGTGACGTAGGATGATACTTCTTGGATCATGGATCACGACACGCGGCCATCGATCGCGATCGTGCCTGGAACGCTACTCGGAACAGACTGTGATGGCTGAGGTAAGACGAGCTGCATTTCCTGCTTGATCTGCTGAGAACCCCCACAAACTGCCCTAGGAGTGTTGCAATGGCAGCAAGCCATTGAACCCCCCCCCCCCCCCGGACAGCAGGGAGAGTTATGCATCTTTCACACTTAACTCCTGTAATCTTGAACATAGTCCAACAGTAAAAGTCCCTTATTTTCATGTCGATGCTCGACAAAAGCTGCTAGCTCCCTCGCTTTTTGTTGACTGGCAAGCGAGCACTCGCCGAGCAGCACTGACTGCACGCACTTGTCGCGTGAACTGCATGAGAGATTTCTGACGTCATAAAGAACGTGATTGCCTCATCATTTCACTGGTCTTCAATCTACATGGTCAGTGAAAGTCCCAGTTCGTTGGCCTACAATACAGTCAGCGTGTTCTTGAGGGAAGTAACAACACGAGTGTGATCACTTCCAGACCAACGGCAACGGGCGTTTAAGGCGAGTAACAAGCGCAAATGCGATTATAAGGAGATAAAAATTAAAAGAAGCAGTAAACCAAAAGTGGATGAAGTGGAAGAAATTAGCAATCCCCATTAAATTCTGCAATTGCTTTTGCCTAACTCATATTCAAACTGATTTAAACGTTTTTGCAATAGATGTAGCCAATCAATGGGAAAACACATTTCCATCAGTTCTAATAACACGTATGATGAGCTAGGTAACAAAGCATAGCGTAGGGCCCTGAGCTTCCAAGCTCTCTCGTTTCAAGTTAACCCCAAAACTCAAAAGGAAGGTGGGGATATGTCCTCAGCACTAGAAGAGGTGTCCTACTATCTGCCGGTGTATACTTCTTGCCAATTGAGGACGTAGCAGGCTGTTTTGGCAGCGCTTTTAAATTTGGCAATTTTCAAGACGATCATTTGTAGCGTCAGGGCGTGATGGACCTGGTCTTCTGGGATCCTGGCATGGACAAGCGGTCCTGCTCCATGAACTCTTCTAAGGTGTGGCAATGTTGACTTGATGGAGTTTGTTTTGTTGCTTTTTACGCTATGGCGTTACAAGTTTCTAGACCCATAAACAAAGTGATAATTCGGCCATTTTGAGGGGTATGCTAGTTTCAAGGTTCCCTTCAAAAAATTTTCAGTGGCTTTGCAAAATCGATCTACACCCGAAAGGGACTTACCTGCAAATATGGAGAGAAATCGGAGAGATCCACTTGCACACATCCTTAGGTATTTTCACCCATGCTCTCTTTACACTCTTTGAATTTTCTAATCGGAGAGAACATTTCTAAGTCATTTGAAGGTGGAAAAGTTTCAACCTATAAGTAGATGATCTAGCAACGTATATACCCCAATTTAAAGTGGTGAATATGGAGATACTGGGGAGGTTTAGCAACACGAAGGTTCGAGCTTTTGGTGGAATGAAATCTCGCGAACTTTAATTCGAAAAAGGAAACCTTGTGAGGGTTAGCAATGCGAACTGTTTTTTTCTTTTTGTAGTTATTATAAGTACCGTATCGTATATGCTGCTCAGTCTCGAGCAGGGGGCTGCAAATTTGCTACTCCCCACAGTCAAATGCGTACCAAGGAAAGAGAAAATAACTTTCGCAAACCACTGCAAGTTTCGACCTTTGTTTCTGTACTCATTCCCGGACTCGAATTTTCTTTCGAACTTTCGCATTGCTAAACGTCCCTATAAACCCCACCTATAGTTCACAGGAAATAGTGGGGGTTAAAGGGGAAGTGCATTGATCTTTCAAGTAGGGTTCATAGGAAAGACAATTTGAGATCGGTTCGAGTGGCAAATCTCTCGCTTACATACGATTAGCCAAACTCGCCAAATCGCCAATCGTGTGATATAAATTGCCGTAGCGCCCAGCGCAGTGATGATATACGATCTGCTTAGCTCTGCCACACAGAAAGTCGCTCAGTGCAGAATTTGGTCATTTTAAATTGTCCTATTACTTCCTCCGCGTCATCGAAATTGTCGCAGTTTGACTAGTGACTTGTCACTTGTTACTGACAACTCCATAAACTAAGCCATTCGAAACTTATTACACAGTATGATAGTCTGAAGACTAGAGTAACGTTCTAGGACAATTGGACTGAGAGTTTTCATGCAGAGATGAAGTCCTCGTCGTCGCTGATGTCAATGGACGCAAAAATATCGTTCCCAAATATTTCAAGGAAGGTTGAAAGTTGGTCGCGCCTCATCTCAAACGCTTTGACTTTCTCCACAGGACAAGAGCTGCTATGCTTGTCGTCTGCTAGCTCTGGATGATTTCTACTTCACCACCAACGAAGCCTAGTAAGAATGCACGATCGTTGCGAGGTCGGTTGATTACCGTCGGCGGAATCACCTCGGAATCACCTCGATCTTGAAAATAATGAACTTTTTTTAGCCGTGGCATGCCCACAGCTCATGCAGGTAAGTGTAGTATCACGTCCAGCGCGCCCTCTTTTTCAGCACTGGTATACCATGGTACGGCACCTGCGCGTGCATCACTAGCACTACGTGTAGAGTCTACACGGCTCTTGCAGGTACAATCATGTACTAGTAGTAGTACTGAGTGTCTCAGCCAGAGCGACAAATTTTATCGCTGTTGCAGGCATTTAGTTTGCCGACCCCTCGATGTTTCTCCAAGCGCTGCCACTTGTTCCACGAAGTCATTCTCACCCCAGCTAAGGTAAAGCAGTGATGGGGCTTGAGTGAATGGCCATAAGCACGAGAAATGTGCAGGCTGCAACACCTGACTGATCTCAGCGAGTCGAAATTACCAGCGCAGCGACATCAGCGAAGAAATTGCGTCTAGTTCAAAAATTCCAGCTTCCAATAACAGAAAATAGAACTTTGCCGTCACCCTATACTGATGACTATCGCCTATGTCCGATCCCTTGCCTCTGGTACGAGTGCTGGTGAGTAAATACCGCATTTTACATCAAAAGTCAAACTGCGACAATTTCGATGACGCGGAGGAAGTATATTCTCGATGTGAGAGAAGTTCTGTGTTGAATGCTGTTAGTGCCGTGAACTGTTTATCGTCCTTCTTCTGCATTTTCCGAGCCTGCCTGTAGCCAACGAAATGGTTCCTCCAGGGGAACATGCTTGGTATTCGTAATCTCTCCGGAGACATTTACGGTAAACTTTCAAAAAAGGTACGACATCATGTGGTTCGTCAATCTCCACCACCCGTCGTCTCACCTGGCTTCAGAAGATGTTACGAGAGTTAGGAGGGTCGCCAGCAAGCACAGCACCCATCTTTAGGAAGTGGAAAGAACAAATGGCATGGTCCTTGGTTGGGGTAAATGCTGAACGTCTGATTTGTTCCAACCAAGATTTCTGCACTTGGTCCATCGCTTTTTTGCTTGTCTGCTGATGTCTCCGCACCCCAGCCTTCTCCTATCAGTTTAATGTCTCAGTACACAACCGGGAGAACTACTGATAAACAGTTAACGGCACTAGCAACATTGAACACAGTACTTACTTCACATCGGTGCACTTTCCCTTTAATATAATCACTTTCCAGAAGGAACATCCATTTATTGAACATTGTTAATATATTATAGTGCCGATAGACTTTTCAATGGGTGAACTCGCCCTAGGGGTAGCGGAGTTATGCAAAATACCCCTCCGGGGATGTGCCAATTCGCCACTGGAGAATATGCTAAACACAGTATGTACTATGGCGTGATACGGATATATCCCATTGTTTGGACTTTTGGAAAAGTGTGCAATCAATAGCATAAGCTTAATAGACATGTGGATGCGTTAATCCGAGAATAGAATGGCCAAAGTTGACCACACTTAAGAGCCACAAGATGTTGCTTGAACAATTGCTACATGATGATGAAATACGAAAACCATCCAACAACCAGGGAAGTATCGCGGGAATTATCGGACATTTGATATCCAAGTACACTGTGTTTCGTATACAACTATCTCTATCTCTATCTTTCTCTTTCTTTCTATCCATCCATCTCTCGCTGTCTCTGTCTGTCTCTGTCTATCTCTCTTTAAATCTCTCTCTCACTCATTCTCTCACTCTGTCTCTCACTCTGTCTCTCACTCTCTCTCTCACTCTCTCTCTCTCTCTTTAAATCTCTTTCTCTCTCTCTCTCTCCCTCTCTCTCTCTATCTCTCTCTCTCTTTCTCTCTCTCTCTCTCTCTCTCTCTCTCTATTTCTCTCTCTCTCTTTCTCTATCCTCTCCTCTCTCGGTGCAGGTATACAATGTCCAATGACTGTTCCGACACCTGCTAACGGAGCCATCGTCACTGGAACTAATGACGTGTTCATATCCAGACAATACACCTGCAATTCTGGTTATCAGCTGCAAGGCAGTTCAAATACAATTTGTCTCTCAACTGGTGACTGGTCGACGCCAACGCCTACATGTAAACGTAAGCAGGAATATGTTTTAATAGAGCCATTATGTTTGGGACTGGGATTTTATTTTTTGTATTTCGCTTTCAGTTACAGATTCAGAATCAACGAAGGAACAGAGCATGTACTGAGGAAACAAAGCCAGAAGACTTATTCACATGCGACAGCCCTTCTTTCTCAGGTTTTCAAAGACAAAGAAGAAAAATATAGATCGGTTCATCAACAGGAAAGGGAGGGATTGGTGGGTTACTAGTGCTCATGAATGCTACTAGGAGACTTGAAGAACTCTGCTGCTATGTAACAGCATTCTGGAGGTGCGTGTAGCCTTAACTCTTTGCATCCTGAGCACATTTTCACCAATCCACTGGCTTTTCACCGCACTGATTCTCTTGGGTGGATTTGCCCTCACAGCTTTGAACGAATTTTATTCTTATTTCACTCCACCTTGATGGATTTAATCATCCTGGGCTCGTTGCAAAGATCAGGACCAAGCGAATCCATCCTGGCAGCTCTCCGCTCCATAGACACATCAGGGCCATTTCCAACTCCTCTCGAAACTACTTCACCGTGCCTCTGAACGGCACAACAACTCTATTCCACATTCTTGTTCGGCTTCTTGCCCAAACTCAACCGATTTTCACGATTCAAACTGCGCTGCAAAGCCGGGATCCAAGCGCTTCATTTGATGTCCTTTACGCATGCGTTGTGCCAAAGGGAACCCCCCTGACTCTCTCCAAAAACTGCAAAGTCATTAACCAAAAATCGCGTTCACTCTGGGCCCTGATTTCCTTATTCGTTTTGTCGCCACTCAGTTTTTTTAATCTTTATCATTATCGCGAAGAACTTCATATCCCTGGAAAGATGATGGCAAAACCTTTCCAATGGTGTATTGATCGTCGTTACCTTGATGTTTGACGTTGATGTTTGACCGAGTTACGACAGTTTAGAAACTAATCTATGCACTGTGATGTGTCGCACGAATTTATTTGCGAGTTAACTCGTACGTAGTGGATCAGCACACTTCAAAAGCGCGAGTTAACTCGTACTCAGGATGCAAAGGGTTAACTTTCAAGTTATAAATGGTGAATGCTAAAAACGCCTTTCTATTTCAACTTCTCTCATCAAGAATATGTGGAAAAACAAACGGTCATTCGGCACCTGCATAAGCAACAATGCCAGACGATGCTGTCTGTATTTCACGTTTACTTGAAACTCGGAATGTCATGGGACGTTTTGTGCCTACCGTAATGATACCTAGGCTCTATTAGCATGGCATAATTTAGTTCTCGTGAAGAACAGCATTGGGTTAAGTTGCTCACCCCAGCTCCAGTTCTCAATTTCTCCTGTGTTCCTTGTAGGAGTGGAGTGCCCTATCCTTAATGCACCCACGAATGGAGTCATATCACCTGGTGATAGTGAGGTTTTTACATTGCGAAGATTCACTTGTAACACTGGGTTCAATCTCGTCGGCAATTCAGCATCTGTGTGTTTATCAGGTGGAACTTGGTCTAATGTCACACCTCAATGTGTTGGTGAGTTAATCCGCATAGTTCCGGCTTACTCACTGTTATTCTATTCCACTGCTTAACTTCAATGAGGTGATGTCTGTATTGGGCATACGGCCGAGTGCAACACAGAGGTTCTTGTAGGTGTATCACAAGGCCTATCGGTGGCGGTTCGAGGTCTGCAACTTCCGCTGTGCCGAAAATATCATGGCAAGATTGACGGGGCATAGTGGACAGGCCCGCCGGCGCACAAAAGAAAAGCTGTGGAGGAACCAGAAGAGGTCTAAGCATGCCAGGGAGAGACTAGCTGTTGGTGACAGCGTCCTCTCTTCCGTGTCAGTTATCGCCAGTGCATGTTATAGGGCGACTCCAGTTCGACTTGAGATTCGAAGGCCAGGGCCTACTCTTAGAAGGCAGGGTGGTCACTGTTTTGAAGCTAACGTACACGCATTATATGTCTACTGTGAAAAATGATCCGGACCACCAGTTTTTTCCTATTGTTGACACGCAAATAAGTTGCCATGATAGTGTGGAAAATGGAGAGAACACATCGTGCTGCATTACACATAATATAGAATCAATTGTTTAGCCCTATTATTCAGTGCGATTTACAGGACGTGGACCAGCATGACACATATACACACAATTCCTGCTCTGTATAGCTGGCTGTATATATAGCTGTTCCTTTGCCTAGCTTCCACACTGTCACTAAAGATGCTCCGTATGCAGAAATGCTGCTAAAACATGGATGACAAAAGCAAAGTTCAGTATTTTTCAGAGCCATGGGGGAAAAGCTCGTCAGATCGAATGCCTTTCTTCTAAATGGAAACCGTCTGATCCATCACATATCAGATATTTATTTGTAAAGCGATTTTGACATTTAACCAAGCAATTTGTTGTCTGGTTGGTATATTTTATTATACTACGCCAGAATGAACAGGCATTGCTGTCTTCTTGCCTGGACAAGTGGATTGTCCAAGCTGTCACAACATGACGAAGATTTTTTTCTTTATGCAGGAATACAATGCTCAGGACCTTTAGCAAATCCCACCAACGGGCGTGTCAACACATCTACTATCTCGGTATTTAGTGTATCGACATATTCTTGCAACTCAGGGTATGAATTGGTTGGCGAAACAAATTCCATCTGCCTTTCCACGGGCCAATGGTCTGGACCGGCACCAACTTGTAGCAGTAAGTTTCCAAATAGTTGTGCAACATTCCAGTCTCCAATGGTATTCATAGTCAGCTTAGTGGTCGTCGCAAAAGTTTTCTGTCGTCCCTAAAACGAACATCGTTCATTTCGTACTCGGACCCCTCCCCTCCCTCTGAAACAAACACAGCTTGCTATACTGGACGACGAAAATCGCATCCATGTGCATGTCAGATGTACAGTGTCTGTCGACTAGCGATTTTGGCTCGCACCCACTCCCCCCCCCCCCACAACAAATGAATAATTTTCTTTCAGGGACAACAAAAAACTTTTGCGACGACCCCTTAATCATGGCCAGCAATCGAGGACATCTGGGAGCTGTAATTATTGTACTCAACCGATGTGTGATTTTTGGCCTTGGCCAAGCACAAGGAGAAGCCTTCTGCCGAAAAAATCAAGAAAATGGTTGTTGTTTGATCCTTTGAGGTAGTATTTGTAGCTAGTCAAATTTAGTTGATGTTTGGAGCAGAAACACTGAAATTGACTATTTCCTGCATGACTGTACTCATGTACCGTGTTTGCCGGAGTATAACGCGTACCTTTGTATAACGCACACCCCAATCTTCAACCACAAATTCACACAAAATGGCTCTATTCGGTGTTTAACACGCAGGCAAATCGGGGATATAATTATTATGGTTCTGAAATTGATCTCGTCAAAGAATGGTGAAACTTAAGAATATTTTCCGGTAAGTCAGACTATGACTATAAAATTGATGGAATTACGAACTTTGAACATGAAAACAACATTGTTTTTCCGTGGATGTTCTTGAACGTCGATGGACCTGAGCACTCGCTCCGTACGATGCAGTGCATTAAGTGTATAGTGCGCACTTGAACTCTTGAACTCTGGCACTTTTGTACTAGATTCTCGTATTCGGTGTATAGTGCACACTGCAGATTTGAGCTTCAAAATTCACATTTCAGGGTGCGCACTATACACCAGCAAATACGGTATTCATGTACTCAAGCATGCAGCTTCCCTTGAATGTTAGCTGTTTTCTGGAATTAATCCTGCTCTGCGGCCCTTGGTGAACATTACCTGCGCTCGTGGAGCTGCTGAAAAGGACTACTAGTATGTCTTGTTCCCGGTTTGAAAGTGGACAGTCGACTTTTGTTCCTTGAAAAAGGAGTAAGGAGCAACAAAGGTCTGTCTCTGATTTTTGAATGCTCCTTGTAGTTTTTGATGGAAATAGAAAATTCTCAAACCAAAGTCAGTGCAGTGGGGGTTCTGTTTTCTTGTTGATTTTTCAGTTGTTTCATCTCGTACCTATGTCAGTATCATAATGGTGAAGTGGACAGGGTGATTTTCTTCCTCTGGGTTTCGTTCGGCCAACTTTGCTTCGTCCTCGTTGAAATAATAATAATAATACCACAGCACGCGTAATAATATAATTATGTGTCCTCATTGAAAGGTTGTGCTGAAAAAATGGTCGGTTCTCAAAAGTATGTTGATTTTCAATGTCCGTGATGATATGCGATTGCTGGCTATGTCAGAATTCAATACGGGTATGTTGGTAGGGGAATTTGGTCAGTATAAATATTTTCAATGAATTATGTGCAATAAGTTATTCTACTTTTCTCCAATACTCACATTAGGCATAAACTGCAATTCTCTTCCGTCCATTTTGAACGGCAATGTCCAACCTGGTCGAGCACCACTTATTCGAGGCAGCACTGCTTTTGTCAGCTGTAATGAAGGATTTGCGCTCTCGGGGATGAGCACTATAACTTGCCAATCAGATCTCACTTGGTCCACAGCACCAACATGTTCACGTAAGTGTCCAATAATGCTTACCAATTGTGGGCAAAGGCTACCGAGCCTTTTATGCTCTCGTCATATATCTCTTTCTCCTTTTTTTCACTACATTATAACAATCCATGAAATTGTGAACGGTAACATTTGGCTGTTGAATAATGCAACAATCTCTGCGTCTTAATTAAATTGTTTGGAACATTTGGTGTGTGTAATGGCTACTGAGGGTAGCAACCTCCCTCGCCCCCCTTCCCGCTTAAGTTAAACCAATAGATCTCGCACCCTTTCGCACAATCATGACCTCGCTTTCCAGTATTACCCACTGGCCTGGGTACATTCTTGCTCGGCGTTCATACATTGCCATAGCTACTGAGGCAACTTAGGTCGTGACATGATCAGGGTTGTGATAGAGCAAACTTTGGGCAGCAATGGAGTTAGGGTTGTGACATCGTACCGGTACACACACAGTTACAAACCAAGGATTAACAAGTTGGGAACACTTATATTTTTATATTTGTACTGAAAATCCAGAAGAGGGCGGAGGGGTATTATAAAAAAAGAGGCTTAAGGAAGGCCTACTTATATGATTTTAGGACGGCTGGATACTTACCATTGGGAGAATGTGCCGGGAGAGTGGATGAGCAAGACTAGACGAAGAGGGTAAACAGCACAAGAAGAGACTGGGGTGTAGCTGATCTTACCACATGAGGGAATAGTGTGAGAGAAGAAAGGTTTGCAGTGCAACACAGCAATTACTAATGGGAGGGGAAGATTGAAGGGCACAGGGTGAACGCGAAGATATAGGTAAGCAGTGTAGTAACCATACCTGAAGGTCTGCAGGGCAAAGATCAGCGGGGAGCATATGAATGTGTGTTGTGTACAGTGGTGTGCAGATGGGTATGTAGATATGTACGGGAGCGTGTGCATACAAGAATGTGTAGTTGCATGTACGGGGCAAAGGGGCTCACGCAAAACGTATTAATTTTAGCCTCGTGCAACTGTGCAATCTAAGAACTGCCTAAGATCCTAGTAGGCTGTGTATTACAATACTGAACCATTATTATTATAAACAATCATTTGACTGTTTTTTTCCTTCAGAAATAAGATGCTTGGCCCCTCTCATTCCTCCAATGAATGGCAATATATCAAATGGAGATAATGTGTTCTTCAGCATACGAGAGTACTCATGCAGCCCAGGCTATGAACTTCAAGGTGCCAAATCTACCGCATGTCAAACTAATGGAGACTGGTCAGTGTCACCTCCAACATGCAATGGTAAGCATACCATTCAATGCCGTGGTTGTTCTCTTTCCCTTGCATCTGTCATGACAGGCATAGTGGGATGGTCAAAGATTGTGAGTGAGAAACAGAGGGTACCAGGTTCAAGTCCTGCTTGGAATAATAATAATAATAATAATATCTTTATTAGGATGACCCAGAGGCTTGTCGCCTATCATGGGGTTGAAGCGGTCGGATTTTTCCAGGATTGTTTTCCAGCCGTGCTGCAACCCACAGTTAATTGGGAACTCGAGGTCTGGCATGAGGGAAACATGGGTGCAGCTAATTGGTTTTTCGGTCTTTGCGTAGTCTGTCTGATCATTAGGAAAATGGCTTGCTGTTGGGGCCCCAGAACACAATGTCATGTTTAACTGTCCACACACATGCAAGCACGCCTGCATTTTACAGTTACTTGGTCCACGTCAGCAATATTGTCGCTTATCTTTCGACAATTCGAACTTGGACTTTGGACATGAACGCATGAACTTGAATTGATAAAACTTGGTACGATGGACAGTAAGGTATAGAATGACAACTAGCTGTGAGGAATTTATTGTACAAAGAAGGGTTCCTACTTTTTACGGTCCTCCTCATCGCTGCTCTCGTCGCTGGTGACAAATATTTTGCTCGGGATCGGCTCTCTTGCTTTTGCAAGCTCATCTCTCTTCCTCTCCGCTGCCTGGCTATTTTCTAAAGAGAAGTCAATCGTGACGGTCGTCTTCTCTATAGGACTTTGCATGGGCAGCACGACAGCCTGTGCGCTTCAGATCAGACGCCGTTCTTTGCAAGATTATACTTTGAACGACGACGACGACGCGTACAGTACTTGCAAATCTCCACGGCGCACTGGATACTCCGAGCGTTGAGCTGGAGGTAAGGGAGCTGCGATCTCAACTTGACGAGCGATCCCTGAGGTAAGCGATCTCGGCCGTTCAGCAAAATGGAGCTGATTCCGAGTAGCCGATTACTTTCTTGTCGCTTTCGCTGCTCTTGCCTGCATAGAGTAACAAGATAATCTTTGATGCGGCGCTGTATCAATCAAAATCACCCACCCGTCGCTCTCGAAATCCACTCGAACTCTAGCTAGACCTTTCAGGTACTAGTAAACTAACCTGCTAACCAAAATTGGGTTGAAATGGGCTACCAAGTAAGCATTGGCGACATAAGCAAAGCTGAAAGATAAGCGACAATATCGCTGACGCGGACCAAGTACATGTACATGTACATGTACAATGACTGGCCAAACGCGACCTGGAAGTGCCGATTGGCCAACTGGACTAAAAAGCGCTCAAAATAAAATAATCGGTTGTCCCTCTTTGGGAGCAAAATCGGTCGGTTCGTCCGACAGGCTTTCAACAATCGGAGAAGTTCCGAAAAATAGGCGCAAGTAGCAGCCCTGATATGTCTAAAACATTTGTCAGTATCATACATTTGATCATGAGTAAAAGAAAGCCGGCAGATAGGCAAGAAACATAATATTAATGATAAGATAATGTACTGCAGTCATACCATGGCCCGTGTTTGTGTGTGAAAATCATATTGGACTGAAAAGAGAGAATGATCGATCAGCACAGATAATGCAGGCTGCACATGCCTGTGTACATAGTATCAAAAGAGTCTTAGGGCCCGCTCTCACATGCACTTGAGACTTGCGGATCCCCTGCAGCGATGTGGCAACAGCGTGTATCACCATGGAAACTGCGAGTAGCAGAACTTCCGCCGTGGGGGAAAGTTCAAATCTGCTACTCCACAATATTTGGAGTGTATACTCTCCTGCAGAAGTTCCGCTCCTGCGACACTCCGACATAACGTTAGTGGGATTTGTGTTGTTGGATTCGATTTTCTGTCATAAAGTGGACACTTGACCTTAGTCAGAGCAGCTACTGCTGCAGTTGTAAATGTATGTTGAAGTCAAGACTCGTGTTGACAAACGAATGAAGAGAGATACGGCGCGTTATAGGTGGATAGCCGAGAAGGTGAAGCTGAAACCGACGACTGCGGCGTCGGCCAAAGGCCAAATCCCGGACCCGTGAGCAGCCAAGCCTGGCCATCATGTAAAACCATGCAAGGGGACCCCTGTCATGAAAAGATGAGGTACATGAAGGACTGGGAAGAGCAATACTAGTATCTGTCTCAGTTATCGTCGACGTGCTGCTCAGCAGGTTCGTGCTAGTATTCAGCAACAAAAATGTCGCTGCAGTCTCCATTGCCTGTCGACAACGTCTTGCCAATCAACCTCTACCCAACGGAAAATCCATTCTTTCAGCTTATTCCGAACAAAGACTCAAAGTCAACAATACTGAACCCACGACATGTAGCTATTGCTTGATACTCCACAAAAACAACGATCTTCCCAACACCTAGTATGTACATCATCAGTGCATCAGTGCTGCGTTGATGTGTCCATAAATGACGAAACAGTTCTGTCCACAGACACAGTACTGAGTCTGTCCACCATCAGTACAAGTGCACACGTGATTGTACTTTTCAGTGAAAGCATGTTTGAGTTGCAGGAGAGCTGCAGTGAATTTTGGAAGTCAGAGAGGCGCGCTCGATTCGTTCGCCGTGCACTCTTTGATCATATGAGACCACGCGAGCATGTTGTCGCAGGAGAGGTTCGAGAGGTTAGACACCACTCCCGCAAAACCTTGTCGCAACAGCGGATCCGCCACTGCATGTGGGACCGGGCCCTTAGAATGCTAATGCTGTCGATGTAGGTCCCTGCTTCAAAAGTATAACCTGAAGACAAGTATCATCTGTGGGGAAAATGTGAAGGGAATGCTACAGCGTACAGTACAAACAAACATTTCCTATGATTTCACTGCTTTCCATTTCTCAACAGAGATAACTTGTAACAGTATTCCAGCTACTCCAAACAATGGCTTCCTCACAACCGGAGTTACAACACTTGGGTCAATACTTGTGTTCGGCTGTGACGCTGGATTTGAACTCGCTGGAACTAATGGAGTCACCGTGTGTCAAGCAGACAAAACCTGGTCATTGACTAGTGTGACTTGTGCACGTACGTCTAATAAAATTATACTATCACTGCCTGACCACTACCATTAATTTTTTAAAACCTTTGCATTACTATAAATACGACGTTTTATTGCAGGACCTTCTATATCTGCAGCCTTCATCGCTTTGTAGTAACACACTTTATTCCCAAACATTCAGTGATGCTCTGTTATACTGTTTTTTTGTTTTGCAGGTCGAGCATGTCCTAGCCCACCCAACATCACAAATGCTGTTGTAATGGCGAACCCAACAAAATCCTATGTATATGGTGACAGTGTGTTTGTGCAATGTAACACTGGACATAGTGGTAGTGGCAACATCAACTGTACATCAGCTGGAACATGGACAGAGCTAAGCTGCTCTGGTAAGATGATTTGCACCATCATGTTCTGTTTCCAAAACTCACAAAAGTATACATTGGTCTTGATTTTGTCTTGACTTAAGCTTAAGGAGAATAGACTGAGCTCAGCATGAGCTGCTTGTTTAGTAGCTGGTGTTATTTTTGGACATTATAGCATAAAATGCAGTTTTTTGGTCATTTTTTCTATAAACCTTAGCCCTTTAAGGCTGGCCCATACATTGATCAAACACCGATGTTCGATGGGGTAGGCATTTTGAAATTATAGTAACTTGGTGAAATCTCAGTCTTTTGGAGAGATCGAAATACGAGCCCCAGCCAGCAGAAACCTGAACATGTGTAATTTTTTCAAAAAATATTTTTTCCCTCCAAATTGTTTCTACACTATTAATCATTCAAGTTATCAAGTTTGGTGACAATCTGATAAGCGAAAGCATGGAAAATAGAGTTTGAAGTCACACAGGTCAAGATTCAGTACAGTTGGCACAGCATCCATGCCTAGTGACTCCATGCAAGTTGATCCTACAGTTTCTAATTGTGATGTGGAACAGGTACATGTAAGTATGCAAGTCAGGCTTGCCCTCTTGGTGCTGCAGACATGAGTAGTTCAGAAGTGTGACGATATTCCGTATACATCACTGCCTTCTTTACAACACCAGCGTGCAAAACGATGATTGGTGGCTGGCCTTCCAAATTGTGTTCAGGGACCTCTGTGCTGGCAGTTTGAGCATTGTCCCAAAGCTTGCCATACTGATAGATGTACTGACCAATACCACTGACATCCACTCCCTTGCACACTTTCACTCAGACCATGATTTCAGCATAATTGTATTTCAATGATATGAGCGAATACTCGCGTTTTGTAACGCGTGAAGATGTTGCCCCAAAGCGTTCAGCCGGTTTGACCTTTTAGGAATCCCCTTTTTTCAGCACAGGCAGCAGCCAGCTTGGCGTCGTCTGGCAAGGTAGAGTACTGATAATACTACGCTCTGTTTTGCGCCGTGAGAAGCCCTCCATCAGTGTCTGCAACATCATTGTTGTCGATGTAGAAATACGGATCGCTCAGCGGGTCGACATTCAGCTTCTCCTCGCAGTCACTATTACTCCAGCACTGACTATCGCCGCCACCAGTATCCAGTGTCGATTTTATGAGGGTTCTTCGTTGCTATGCATATGAGACTCGCCACTGCTGGACAAACTCAGCGAGATCGCCACCAAAGAAATAATTCCGATCGCGAACTAACTTTCAGCGCCGCTTCGTACAGGGAGTCTCACGCTGACAACTCTGGACCTAAGTCTTTGTCGCGACACCTGTCGCCATCGCTGTGTCTAAACTCAACCTCCGTTTGACGAGCTCTCACCTAGCACAAAAATCAATTGACCAGAGACATTTGAAGACACTTGAAACTCCTTTGACAACAAAGAAACCCACTCGATCGAAAAAGAATCTTCAAAAGCCAGCTCACTGCGCGTCCCAAACTTTGACATCACATTTTGAGGATTGATATCAAGTACACAAGTGCTGCTTTTCGCTGGCAGGGGCTCATATGTAGGTGAAAGAGAAAACTCCCAGCTGTCGCCTGGAACAATTTTCAAAGCGATAGTGGTTGAGTTATAGCACTCATAATGTTGGTCCCGGGAAATATGCGCTCAGAGCGCGATGCGTGGGTCAGCGGCTGGGATTTTCCCTGCTTACGTCACCTGTTGACAAGGCTGCACCGATTCAACTTCAAAAGCAGGTTCCCGGCATCTCTACGAAAAATTTGAGTTTGATACGAGCAACAGGAGTGAAATGGTGGGTAGAGATAGATCTAGAGCGTGAGCCCAGCGCTGGTGGGCCTTCCCTGGCTTGCAGCGCTGGGCCAGTGCCTCCCGTGGAGTCGAATGTACGCTCATTGCGCTCCTCTCGCCAAAGCCTTTCCAGGATGCCCAAGATCGTGGAATTTGCCCAATGCAAAACTAAAGTTACGTCCTATTTAGGTACAGGTTTGGCGATTGCGTGGGCTTGTTTGTATTTTAATCGGCCAATGAAGGGTTAAGTAGGAGAGGATTATCATTGGGAATAGATCATGTACCGAGCTAGACATTGAAACCAATAGGACAGTGCCTCTTTCCAGCCATAAAAGCCCAAATTAGTAGAAGGGCGAACATGGTTTAATCTTTTCCATGGCAGTCTGCTTCTGATCCATGTTAGATATTTTTCCTTGTTCAAGAGGGTTATTGAGGAGGAATTTCTATTTTCATCCCAGTGGAGCTTCCCGATAATTTTTAAAATAGGTCTGATTGAAGTAGTGGTCGTCTGCTCTGGATGGCAGTCGTGAGTCAGTCAAGTGTCAAGTAAAGTCGGTGGAATAGCGCGAGCTCGAGTGTGAGGAGCAAACCCTTTGTTAGGTCTACTTGAGGTAACTTTGCTTGCCAAACAGGGATTGTTTACCGTTTTATGTGTTCTCTTTTACAACATGTTATTCAGCAAGCAATTGTGGCTCATTGGGAGACCCAGTAAATGGAATGGTGTTTATGAGTGGCGATACCTTTGACTCCACTGCTTCATACACATGCTCTGCTGGGTACAACCTCAACGGATTTTCTTCTGCTACATGTACTCACAGTGGAATGTGGTCACCTCCAGCTCCCCGTTGTGATCGTAAGCTTACGAAACTAGGTTGCCACCGAACTCAAGAATTTCTAAAATGGTGGCATAGGATTAAATATTTGGGATAAATGACTCCACATCGAATCTTGAAATATAGCACTTGCGCCTTCAAACCCGGAAAATGCAAGGTATTAGAAAAGAAGGTACAATGCTTTTCCTGTAGTAATCGGCTACGAGAAGCATTCAGTTTTCACTCACTTTTGTTCGATTTGTGAAACAGGTCACGTCAGGCTCTTTGTAATAATATCCCCCGAATAATATTGAGTGGATGTATGAGTGCTGACACATCAACCTTGTGTTGTTGGTCTTTGAATGATTAAATATACATCCTATGCCTTACCAATGTGTTCTGGGTTCCACTCTTTGAACAATCTAGTCTACAGTCGTAAACACCTCTACCTTTTGCCCCGCAAAACCGCTCCAGCGCAGCATGAGAATGAATGAATGAAGCCGCTTGCCAAATACCGCCAATTGGAGATCATCGAGGCAATGATGACCCCCAATTGGCGTAGTAATGGCAAACGTATTCATTGATTTCTTTTGTGCAACAAAGAGACGTTGTGAGACAAAAAAATGGCAGAATTTCCAAACCCAGTGATATGCTGCATTCGAGTTGTACAATATTTATCTTGAATTGTCAGTTGTATTTATATCAATCCATTTTGACATCACTCTTTTACACTTTGTATTTTGGTTCCACAAAGTTTGTCCTCTTTTCTTGCCATATTAATACAATCTATTTTTGTTTCGATAATCGTGTAGGAGTCAACTGCGGCCCATTGTCAAACCCAACAAATGGTCGTGTTGTAGCGGCAAGAACTGATTTCGAATCAACAGCAACCTACACATGCAGCGTTGGCTTTGTTCTTTCTGGTCAATCAGCGACAAACTGTCTTCTCAATGGTTCATGGTCGTCGCCACCACCCACCTGCCAACGTTAGTTTCATGATGTCTTTGAATGCACTATAGACAATCATCAACTAAGGGTGCTGAAAGGGTTAAACTAATTATTATTATAGATGTGACTATGATCATCATTACAAACACGGGATCTTCATCATAAACCAGTCATGCTCTAGCCCCATGGCTTGGGTGTAGCCATCATCCAATCAGAGACTGCTCGACATTCCTTCAGACCTCACACTTTTTCTTATTCAAGATAGGGAATGCCCCCAACATGTCCATATCTGTTGAGCTGTATAGGTTTTTCACCATAATTGCTAGTGAAATGCATTGCATGGTGCGTACTACGCATAACTCCGGCAAGTCATTCAAGAGTCACTAAGTCAGATAAAACAAAATACTGAAATACAGATTTGAAACTCGGGTATTGAGCCAATAATAAAAGTAGAAAGGAAAAGGACATATGGAAACGAGTTAAAGGGTGAATATGTCTCGAGACGAATTTAGCGGATCAACAACGCTTCGCTGGAGATAAATTCTCCTCTGGAGGACCTTCAGGGTACCTGGAAGGGTATAGAAGACGGGATCGCTCACGACGTTGAGAGAACATAGAAAACAACCTCCTCTTCGATTGAAAATTGGCCAAAAAGTATGTGAAATGTATGTGCGCAGATGCATTTCCACTGGCAAGCTAATCTCTCATTACGTCATCAGCGCTCGCTCGGCGAAATTCAAAAAGTCGTCTTCCTGCTCGACTCGATCGCTTCTGGAGACTCGTTCTTGTTCGAGGGGTCTTCTCTTTCACCTACCTTCGTCTTGGCATCGAAAACTCGGCGTCGAAAATGAAGCCGGAGTGCCCCTTTAAGAGTAACTAAGAGTAATTTGCTCCCTAAAAGACCAGCGGCAGGTCTCCTGCATCTGTTTCTTCGACCTCTCCAAGGCCTTCGACACCGTGTGGCACAAGGGCCTGATCGCCAAACTTCGTGCCCATGGAGTCTCCGGCTCCCTACTCGCCTGGATAACTAGCTACCTCTTGGACCGAAATCAGTGCGTCACAGTAAATGGAACCTTATCTGACCCCGAGTCTGTGACATCCGGAGTGCCCCAGGGCTCCATTTTAGGTCAGTTGCTCTTCCTCACATACGTTAATGACCTCCCCTATTCAATTCCCAATATTTCTTTGTTTGCAGATGATACCACTGTCCTTGCTTCCTCCCCATCTCACGCCACCCTGTACCCCAAAGTTCAGACCTGTATCAACGACATTGTTCACTGGATGAGCACTTGGTACCTTAAGCCAAATGTGACCAAAACCGAGCTCCTCCTGTTTCCCCCTCCCACAGATCCAGTGCCCATCTTCCACTTTCCCGATGATCCCGGTCACCCTATCTCTGTAGCGCCCCACCATAAACACCTTGGCATTGTCATAGATTCCGCCCTCTCCTGGTCTCACCATGCTGATCATGTGTCGTCCAAAGTATGCCGATCTGTCGGCATAATGTCAAGTCACTTGTCCCATTTGCCCAAAAATTGCCGGATTGATTTTTATAAATCATACATTCTTCCCCTCTTCACGTACGGCTTCCCTGCCTGGTCCACCATTAACAAAACCCACATAGGTAAATTAGAAGTTCTCCATCGCCGTATACTGCGAATCATATTCCGTACTGATCGTTATACCTCAAATCTAGACTTGTATGCTGCTGCATCCACTACCACTCTGCAACATTACCTTGATGCTTCCAAGTGCACCCTGGCGCATTCAATTTTCCTTGACCAGCACCCTGCTCATTTACAGTCCCTTAATTGGTTCAATTCAGGTGGCACCACCCGAAGCTGCGTTCGTCTCCCCCTAGCTAGGTCTACCCTATTCGTAAATTCCCCTTTCTTTTCCTCCTACTCCACGTGGCTCCAACTGCCTCCCAGTGTTAGACAAGCTCCAGATATGCCCAAATTCCGTACCCTCGTCAGACAGCACTTCAGTATCTCCCAGTAAACAAAGTCACAGTCACCACTTCCGCTGCACAGCTCGCTGAGCGTCCCATTGCTTTGTAAGTTGCTAATCCCTTCCCACTTTGTGTACGTGCTCTTAATTTTCTTTTTTTCTCTTCTTCCGTGGTTGGTCTCACCCTCTCCTCAATTCAATTGGCTGTCTTGACATGCCACGAGGTGCAGAAATAAATAAATAAATAAATAATTAAGAGTAAGAATGTCTCAGTACTCTGTCAGTTTTGTGCCTAGTTGTTGCACTTTCTGACTGTATATAGTATCTAGTTACAGTGGTGGAGAGTTACTCTTAACTCGTTTCCATATGTCCTTTTCCTTTCTACTTTGAAATACAGATGTAGAACTTAAAAGTTGCGACTTTGGCGGTAATAGTCATGATGTTGATTGTGCCAACTAGGAACACAAGCTACTTGCCGAACTTGAAATTTGACTTGGCAAGAAGCGTGTGTTCCTAATTTTATACAGATGTAGAGTCTCGCTTACTTTCCAGCATTATTCCGGGAATAGAAGACTAAGGGGACATCCGTAATTGTGGATCTTTTTCACGAAGAGAAAAAGTTTCGTAGATGAGGAGAGTTTCGTTATGAAAATTTTTCTTTCATAGGGTGGGTAGGTGGGAAGGGGGGGGGGCAAAACTATACTTTTCGATTCTTGAAAATTAACAATAATTCCGGATGGTCGCTAAGTCCTCGTTTTAATTTGGGAAGAAAATCTCTCCCCAATTGGGCATGCAATATCCAGATCAAAAATACTGGACCTACCTATCCTTGGCTCTCCATCCGAGTATAATCTACCTATAATTATAATGTTCAGAGCGTATTTAACGGATTCAAGGTCATGATGATTCATCGTGTATGTGCATGTCTTTTTCACGTCTGCGTTATTTTTCAATGCTATCATTTCTCAAATCGTGCAGCTCGACCATGCCCTAGCCCACCAACCATCGACAATGGAGTGGTGATGTCCGCCTCATCAGCATCCTATGCGTACGGTGACAGTGTGTTTGTCCAATGTAGCATGGGACATAGTGGTAATGGAAACATCACTTGCCTGGCAGATGGCGGTTGGAGCATGTTGAACTGTTCAGGTAGGAACCGATTTGCTTGTTTATGATCTATATGAAAAATGATTCATCGTAACCATAATAGAAATATGACCCCGGGATTTCAGACACCCTTTGAACACAACTTGTGGTGTCATTTGACATAAATAATATGTCACTGACCATATTATTAAAATTTACTACCTTTCCTAATGGTTGAAAGTACGGTGAGATATGCCGTCATCAGCAAACACAAATCACCAAACGCACTTTACAAGGAAGTCCATTCCTGATATATCTGCATCTGAGGATAGTATCGAGAGAGTATGACATAATAATGAGCTACTCATGGTTATTTTTTTTCCCGTTTGTCTCTTTCCCTCAAACCAGTTAATACTCATGGGTACTTATTTTTTTAGCCAATAAATTCATCTATAATTCTTGTTAGTGTCAAGGGCGTAGGCCACTTGGATTTATGCATTCGAGCTGTGTCGAGTACATCAAGCTGTTCAATATGTTATTAATATTATTATTATTATTATTATTATTTATTCACAATCACGTGGCACTAGCAAATGAAATGGTGATGTGGGCGATAGCCAGCCATGGCGGTAATAGAGCAGCTATACATAAGCAAGGGCCAACAATATCATGTGCCATTGTCCTCGAGTTGTGGGAAGTGTCTGGTAAGGAATTGTTTGTAGAAAGGTTGATAATCCGCTCCAAAAGTATACTTGCTCTTCAACTCTCGATTTATTGTGTGTTGTGTCGAAATGAACTACTTTTTGCAGCAAGCGTGTGTGGTTCAGTGTCCAAACCTACTAATGGAGGTGTGTTCACGACTGGAACCACTTACGGAGCAACGGCTTCTTTCTCGTGCGACGTTGGTTACAATCTCAAAGGTAGTTCTTCTATAAATTGCCCTGAGAATGGAACATGGTCAGCCACACCGAGCTGTGACCGTAAGTTCTTGTAACCAGTGCTTTTCAGTAACTGAACTCCTCTATGGCGTCTTCGGGAGAGGGGCAAAATCAAAGAGCATGTTTATTGAACTTAAAGGTCCTCAAGGTTCAAGACATGAATCACATAATACAATTGCCATGGAATGTACTTAAGTGCAAATTTAGTAGTGTGGTGTACACACATGCATATGGTATGAAAGAAGATGAACTGATGGAAAATGTTTTGCAATACAATGAGCCGATGCTTGCATTGCAAACACGTTTTAGTCAGTTTGAATAGCATGCATGATGGCCAAGGCAAAAAGCGAAGTGAGGGCCCTGAGATTACAAGCTCTCTTGTTGCACCCACCACTGTAAATGTAGTCTCTGTAAACGTGTCGTTCCCTTAGGGGTCGTCCATAATTGTCGATCGTTTTCACGAAGAGAAAAAGTCTTGTTTATGGGTGGGTTGGTCGAGGAGAGTTTCGTTTTCAAAAATATTGATAGCTGAAATATTAATCCATTCTAGCAGTCAATTCAATCTATTCATCGTCGAATGGGATGGGTGGGTGGGGGAGGGTCATAACTATGCTTTTTCGTTTCGTGAAAATTATCGATAATGCCAGATGGTTCTCGCTCTATATACACAGACATAATGCCATGGAACCAGACAACAGAGGCTTGAGCACACATAGTGAGGGTAGTAGGCCGCAGCCAGATGTGACTGCTGAGGGTAGTAGGCCGCAGTCAGATGTGAACCGGAATGCAGAAGAAAACTAGGAGCAACAACAGTGAGACAGACCCCAGGAGGAAAAAATTAGTACATTCACCTAACATAAATACGCCAGGACAAGCACGACTTGGGACTGTCAGATTACTTTCTCTGGACCGAGCCAGTCGGGATAAAACCCTCGCGCCGACGGACTCCCGAATGAGGGGAAAAGCCGGGTGGATAACCCCGAGTGGCAACATGGCAGCATAAAAACAGGCACAACATATCTACAGCCAAGAAAGAAATGGAAGAAGATGGGCAGACATGAAGGGTGGAAGGGTGGTGACACTGGTGAGACACAAAAAAACTGACTGAAGAAGTCAGGCAAAAAGAACAGCAACAAAAAGAGAGCACATCAGATTCCATATTCGCAAGAAAAATTATTTTGTTGCTCGAGAAATCCTTTCTCGCCTGACTCGCTCCGCTCGGCCGGCGAGAAATATAACCTCCTTATGCCACAAATCACAATGGCAAACGAGGGGATGCGACTTACCAAGTGTGACTTGCAGCTGAAGTCAACTCCCTGAAATCATAAAACAAAGACCTCCAAATGTTTTTGTGACTTATAATGGGATTTTGAGAGATGAAATCCTCTCTGGTTTTTCATTTGGAACATGGGAAAATAATCGATCCTGTGGCTGACTCATGGCTGCACTACCCCTAAGGAACTGGCTCATGGCCTGATTACAGAATTACTAGTAGGAAACGAATTCCTATTCTGGAATTCTAGAGTGGCTGGCTTCTATGGCTTTCTTGGCAGTTCAATTCCCTGACTGTCTCACCAAACTTCTCCCCCAATTCCAATACAGGTAAAGTTGTGTAATCATTTGTTTTGCTAGATCGCAAGGTAATCTTTCTTCTAAAGTGCAATACTAGATACTGATATTGTTGTAAACAGCTTACGCTATTTTCGTGAGAAGAGCGTAACGCGAATATTCATACATGTCACGTGCCTGTTGTCAGGTCGTTGCTAGCATTTGGCCAATCAGAGCAGCACCGTACCAGGGCATTATCAGACGGTCATACCCAGGTACGGCGTACCCATGACCTTTAGGAATGACCCCAGGCGTACTACGTACGCTGGTGCACTGCCAAATTTGCACCAATCCATGCCTTTTGGGCAGTGACTTGGTAAATACACATGCAGTACTCCAGCGCACATAGAACACATGGGACCATTCCTAGGACACCACATGTACTCGCACACACCACACAAAACGAAACTACTTACGTGCACCGTCCAAAACAATTATATTTTACTAGCAATGTCCACACAGGAGAAGTAATTTATAACAACGTGACAATAGCACACAGCATGTCATTACCATGCATTACTAAATTCAAGTCAATTGAGACGAACAAGTCGACAGGTGAACATGCATCACAAAGTTACCTATCTGGAATAGATCAGATTGTATCTCAAACTTCTACACAATATACAGTTACATCTACATGTACATGTACTTCAAGTGTACCTAGCTACATGTCCAGTGTACATATGGACCTCAAGTAAACTGAAAGCAATTCGAACAAAATCTCAGATGTACATGTATGTGAAAAAGCATTGTTCCGAATAAGAACACTTACAATGTACTCTCAAAACTAGTCTAATTACTAGTGCCACTTGGTCAAGGATGTTTGCGTCCAACGTTAACTCCAAAGCAGCAGCGAATCGGCTAACTTCCGTACCGCCCAATAGGCAACACTAACACCAAACTGCAAAAGCATATTCCTGGAACTGCAAGTAAATCTGGCACACAACGTTCTATCATTCCACGGAGAAAGCTCCTTCCGATCTTGTTCGACCCTTCATTCATTTGACAGCTGATTGGAACCTTCCTCCTCCCTTGACCATGTTTACCTTAATAGTCTACAACTAGACATGTGGCATGTATGAACTATAATAAACACATGGTGCGTCGTGCATTATGGCTGATTGTATGCCCTAGTGCGTAGCCCTCGGTCGTGCACCGTAGCCCGCGGCACTGTGGCCCTTGGGCTACGGTGCACGACCTCGGGCTACGCACTAGGGCATAAATCAGCCATAATGCCCTTCGTACTATGTGTTATTATATACTTAACCATCCTGAAATCTAATTTCAACACTGTGTGTATGTACCTGACCCCCGTGTTTTACAAATGTTTGCCATCGCACTCTCGCTGGTTCTAAGAAATCGCGAAAATTTAGTGACGCGAATATTGGGCGGTTTACAGTGCTACTGTCAGGTACCTCCTCGCGTACGTTCTGCAACCTTTCCAAGCTGGCCTGCATGAACCCTTGTACTCACCTTGTCTCCTTTGTCACATTTTGTTCCGTTGGCCTGGGTAGCTGCTTGCGTGCCCATATTTATCATTTCTACCCAGGCCCTTTTATCTTGCCGCCCCCACTCGATCTCGCTCTCTCTTCCATAATGTAGTCGTTCCGTTCGTCTTCATCTCTCTAATAAATTTCGTTTCCAACTACTTGTTCCCGTTGTCCGTTGTCTGGAGAGTACGACTCCTCTTCGTACCCAACACTACAATAGGGTGCAAACAATTACTCGTTAAGTATCCTTTTTGAATATTTCGCTCAAACCAGTGTATACTTGTCAATTCGTTAGTTCTTGTTGATTTTTGTTTGCCACAACTCCATATTGTGCATCTCTTTACTGTCCAGGGGTCACATGTGCTGTACTGATGAATCCCATGTATGGCACTGTAAGAGCAGCAGCCAATGATTATCTCGCAAAGGCTAATTACAGTTGCAATACTGGCTACGTCTTGTCGGGTGACTCCGTACCTACATGCCTTCTGACTGGAGAATGGTCCTCACAGCCACCCACCTGCCAACGTTAGTACTACATCTTGCCTTACTTTTACCTGTTACTTTCTACACGAAATACAGGTGTCCTGCAAGTGATTGTGAAAGTCGAGCAAGGAGAATCTACTTAACAGGAAGAATGCTCACAGCCAAAAGTACCGTTTCAAGCCTTTGGTGCGGTGGATCGATTTCCACCTATGCTTACAGTACATGCTGGGAATGATCGCAAAAGCGACCTCGTACATCTCAGATGACTGATTTTGTTTAGAGACATACCTTTACTTAGTTAGTAGCTGGCCTATTGATAGCTGTAGGGAAGTTTGTGGGGTTGCTTTGGAAAAACTCAAGTTTGGATCGCCATGATCATGCTCAGGCGGGCACCAACGGAAAACGTTAGTCACGTTTTCAATTCAGGCTTTTCAATTCAGTGATGCAGGAGGAAGGCTGTCATTAGAGTTGTTGGACCCAGTCACGAGCAACAGCAACCTGTACTTGTAGGAGATATGGAAATGTTACATTTTCCTTCATGATTCTGTGTTTTGGTGTGCAGCTCGACCATGCCCTGGCCCACCGAACACCAACAATGGAGTGGTCATGTCTGACCCTTCAGCATCCTATGCATACGGTGACAGTGTATATGTACAGTGCAACACTGGACATAGTGGTAGTGATAACATCACATGCACTGCTGATGGAACCTGGAGCACGTTGACATGTTCTGGTACGGTATTTTTTCCTTACAATTTATGTGTTCCAGAATCCTTGGTTGGCCACTGTAGAAGTATCATGCCTGTTATTTGGATGAGGAGATATTGGCAGTTACAGGTGGAATCCTGAATTAGAACTTTTTCCAGGACCGATTTCTGTCAATACGATTCCCACATGTTCTCTGATAATTCGAACCTCGAACCAGACATGTCCGGTTAATTTGAAGTTCCACGATTCCCACTTACATAGAAAATGTGTGGGATTTGTGCTGATAATTCGAAGTTAGCAAAGTTTATTTCGAAGTTCACTGTACACTGCACTGGTCAGTTCAGTTTGCATGAGAAGGCTGTGCCGGTCAGTTCAGTATCCGTGAAATCTGTGTCTAAAGTCCATAGCCCATAAGAGCATTTTGATATACATATTGTGTTATGGGTTCATGTTTGGATAATTAGAATATCCGGCTAAGGGCGCGTTCAGACTACCGATAAAAAGTGACGGAAAGTGGCCAAGGTTATTTGATCACGTGACGTTACTGGCACGTTACCGGTGGAAAAGTTTTACTGCCGCGGCTGCTTCGGCAGTAAATTTTTACCAGCAGGAAAAAAATTGCTCAGGCTGCATGCGCGCTGGGAAAAAGGTGAAATCCCTTGTCAGTGCAGCGGTGAGAGTTGAAAACTTCACGGTAACTTTAGTTTGTTATCAGTAGTGTGAATGTCCTTCACGGTTTATCGGCATTCACGGTGTGACGGGATTCACGGTAGTCTGAACGCGCCCTTATTAGTAGTTTTTTCCTGGCATTTCGAGATTCGAATTATCAGTATTCCACCTGTAGGGTGCAATAATATTTTGCTTGTCATGTCTACTTTCACCCGTTCCATGCCGGGCCCCTTTTCTCCAATCGGTCAGCTGTCCAGCGCACTGACTCTCTTTGTGTATATGTAATTTGCGCGCACAGCTCTGAACGAAATTTATTCTCATTTCACTCCACTTTGATGGGTTTTCATCATCCTGGACTCGTTGGAAAGATTAAGACCAAGCGAACCCATCATGGTAGATCTCAGCGACATGACACACCAGGGCCACTTCCACCTCCTCTCCATACTACTCCACCATGCCCCGGAACGGCACAGCAACTCAATTTCACGTTCTTGTTTGGCATCTTGCCCAATTCAACCGATTTTCACGATTCGAACTGCGCTGCAAAGCTGAGATCCAAGCGGTTCATTTGTTGTCTGTCATGCATGCGTCGTGTGAAAGGGAAATCCACTAGCACGTTCAAAACAACTACAAAGTCATGAACAAAACAATTCGAGTTCACTCAGGGCCGTGATTTCCGTGTTCATCCTGTTGCCGCTCAGTGATTCTTTATCCTATTGAGACGAACTTTATATCCCCGGAAAAAAGGATGAGCTCAAGACCTTTCCAACGGTGTATTGATGGTTGCGATGCGGTTATGTTTCAAGGAGTTACGATAGGTTTTACACTGGTTTATGCACTGCAATACAATGTGCGCTCGCTCCCAGCCGTGATTTCGGTGTTCATCCTTCTTTATCCTATTGCGACCTATTATATCCTCAGCAATGCCTTCACCCATACACTTCCTGCAGTGTGAAAGAAGTATGGCCTGCAATCCATTGAGGGCATAACCTGGCTTTATTCCCGTAGCTATGCAGAAGACGTTACTTGAGTAACGTCTGGCGCTAGCAAGGGTCCACACAGCTTTAATTTGGTGTTTGTTTGTTTGTTTGTGTCACGCCTGGCGCTATCCCGTATCTGTCCCGCACCGTACCGTACCAACAAAGACAGCTGGCCACAATATTTTTGTTTGTTTGTGCCGTCGGCATGCCTGGCGCTATCCCATACCTGTCCCGTACCATCAAGAGCACGGTACCATCAAGAGAATGAGTATATATTATGCGAAGTGTATCGGGGGAATGCATTCAGGCCAATAGTGCAGTAACATTTTGTGTGGATTTGTGTGTGAGGCCGAGATCCTACTAGCAGGCTGGCCGGGCCGCCTGTCGACCAGCCCGGGAATCGCTGTAGGCCGATAGCATAATAATTGTAACGTATATAGATGTATAGCAGGGAGTCGTATTATGTAAACGACTCCCTGCTGTATAGGGAGATTTTCTGGAAAGAAATACGAAGTAGGGAGACTAGCAAATGCAATTAGATTGGACGTTAGTTGCCGAATAGGTCACAGGATGCTTCAGCAAAATCATACTTTGGAAGAGAGATCCCGTCGTCTTCAAAATAATCCTGAACGGGCGAGTCAGCGCCGGTAACAGGACTCCAGAACGTCCTGATCGGCAGAGTCAGCGCCGGTCACAGGAAACGTCGGAAGAGAGATCCCGTCGACTCCAGAACATTCGTGATCGGCAGAGTCAGCGCCGGTCACAGGAAACGGCAGGACAGACATCTCGTCGACTCCAGAACGCCCGTGATCGGCAAAAACGAGACTGGTACAGGATAGCGCCAGGCATGCCGATGGCACAAACAAAAATATTGTGGCCAGCTGTTTGTGGCCAGCTGTCTTTGATGGTACGGTACGGTACGGGACAAATACGGTATAGCGCCAGGCGTCACAAAGAAAATAAAAAATAAAAAATATAAAACAAACATATAAAGGAAAAGGACATAATGGATACGAGTTAAGTGTTACTCTCCATAACTATAACATAATACTACGTATACAATAAATGAGGAGGCCGGGGGTTTATGACCAATAAAAACTATTATAAAAACCGAGGTCTCTCGAGGTTTTTAGACTTAGTTTTTATTGGTCATAAACCCAAGGCCGGAGCATTTATTGTATTTAGAATCAACCAGTAAAAACTCCTACTCAATCTCCAACAACAAAATAAGTGGACAGCTGTTATTTGTGTTGCTATGACAACTCGTGTGCTGGACGAGTATTTGTTGTCATTGGTTCAATTTATTTTACTCTTCATAGGCTATCAGATCATTTTCCTTATTCGGTCTATTTATAACCAGTATCTATAATGAGAGTGTGGTCTGTCTCCATGGTTACCGGTGTTCATTTCATAACTATAGCCACTTCTCCTTGTAAGACCTTATCTGGAAGGCTCATTCTTGCATATTCCAACAGCAGCCAAGGGAGCTAGCTCTCTTGGTTATGCGGACTGGGTCCGATACTAAAAAGCTGTTTTTATGAACTGTTTTTATTAAGAAATGGTTTGCTCCCCACACCGGAGCTCGCGCTATTCCGCCGACTTTACTTGACACTTGACTGACTCACGACTGCCATCCAGAGCACACGAGAAGTCCATCGAACCTTCGACTCGGCAAACCTGCAAGAAAGCACCACTCCCTGCTCAATACACAGTGTTTCGGGGAATTCACCCCTCATCAGTTGAGCTTGAGTAGGCTGAGGAAGATTGTGCCTGAAGAGCACCACTTATATAGTGCTCTCCAGGCACAAACATCACCAGGGATACAAACTTACAGAGACGCTCCGTTTCAAGCGCGATAAACACCTCGTGAACACCAGATAGCAGCGTGAGTCAGTGTCGCTCCTGGACGGTGAGACAGACGTCGAGCGGAATAGCGCGAGCTCCGGTGTGGGGAGCAAACCATTTCTTACAAATCATCGCCGAAGTCGCAACCACTACTTCGTACTGTTTTTATTAACTCTTTTTATTGGATAGGATATGATTATGTTGAATAAACGAGGTTTGTGTCAATGGGAGATTGACTTGGAGTTTTTAGGAGTTGATTCTAAATGTATATACAGTCAAAAAGTGCAATAACTAGGCACAAAACTGACAGAGTACTGAAGCGGGATTCACAGAAGCTTTTTTTGCGATGCGACACGCGTTGCGACGCGATCTGCGACGGACGCGTGCGATGCGAAATCGCGAAATACAATTCACAGAAGAAGTCAGTGATGCGACAACATCTTGCTGATTTGGCTACGTCACCATGATATTCGCGCGGTTTGATACAACTTGTACAAATTTATAGGCAACTCTTGAACCTTTGTACAACTTTGCTGTAGAAAAGGTCAAAATCGTACGCCAAATCGCTTGTCGCATCGCATCGCAAAAGTTGAGCCAAGCTCAACTTCTGCGATGGCCTGCGATGGCCCAGTTGCGGCAGTTGCGTGGGCTGCGATTTGAGGTTTTCCCGGTTTCGCGCCTGTCGCATCGCGTGTCACATCGCCAAAAAAGCTTCTGTGAATCCCGCTTGAGACATTCGACGTCCTGACACCCGTATATAGTAACTCGTATCCATATGTCCTTTTCCTTTCTATATTTATTTATGGCTCAAAATCCGAGTTTCAAAAAATAAACACCAAAAGCCTTTGGGTCATCCTAATAAAGTTATTATTATCATTATTAATATTAACCCCGTAGCTATGCCACAGACGTTACTTCAGCATCGTTTGGGGCTAGCCAGGGTCCACAGAGCTTTGACACATTACATACATGATGAGCAAGCAAAAAAGCATAGCGTAGGGCTCTGAGCTTCCAAGCTCCCTCGTTTCAGCATGATGGGCTGGTAATTCTACGGGAGGTATTCGACGATCACTTTCTGGGGGGTCTTATCTACTCACCTCCCATGCCTAGGACTTACATCAAAGGGTGGTGGCATCCACACGGATGCGAAAAACTCGGTCCAGCCCAATTTAATGGGAAGTTTAGCCCAAGATCCTATTGTCACCAGTTGCAGTCTTCGGGTTGCGGAGTCGAATGCCATGCATGGTCTTGGTCCGAGGAAGCTGAGATACTCCCTTCCTACTTATTCCCAATCGAACTCGCCACTTCTACCGAAACTGGCTGACTGTGCCCAACTAGATGGGGATTTGCATCCAAAATGTCACCAAAAGCGCCATTTGTTCCTATAAGCACAGATAACTGCAATTGGCCCACTGGTTTTGGTCCGAGAAGGCTGGGATGCAGCATTCAGTCCTTATTCCCAATCGAAAATGGTTGAAAAGCGGTCACGTGCTCATGTGTACACCAGTCACCTGGTCAAAGTGTCTGCAGGCTACAAATTTCACACCAAGGTTCAACTCGAGTGACAGGAATGCGCAGCAATAGGCTATAAGAAACACGTTTCTAACTTTGCCGCTCAAGTATTTTGCAAAGCACCACGGCAAATGATGCACCTCTCTCAAGGTCTTTCCCTCAGGTTTCCAATTGTACAAATGCTGCCACAGTTCCAAATGTTTTCTATGTTGTAGGTTTTCAATAGAAATGCCGCATTTTCATTTACTCATGGTGGACAGGTTGCACTACCCTGCAGTCTTTTAGGATCCAGCTATACCTTAACCCTTTGTGTACCAGCCCCATCTCGAACCGTACCATATGGTACGGTTCGCTGCACTCCAATCAAGTGCGCCGTTCCCCGCCGCCGTAGCTCCGATCGACCCGCGGTTTTTTGCGCTTGACAGCTGAGATCCCACTGAAAATTTTGATGTATGACATGGGTAGGTTGCCATTTGAAAGTATGGAGAACGAACGCGTTCAAAAGTATGCTTTTCAGCGCAAACAATTGTCGCTGTTTCGATCGTGTTCTCGCTCAGTTTCTCTGCTTGTAGCGAAGATGTAGCTTGGTCTAGGTCATGTCGACGTCTTCTAGACGTGGTGGACGATTGGAGAGATCGGCTGTGGCGATATCATCGCGGAATGCGACTCGAAATTGAAAATTTGTATCGCTGATCCCATCGCAGTATTCGCTCTCAAAACAGGAGCGAGAGAGAGGGCAGCGATGGCCTAAAATCGTCAAGGCAGGCGTAATTCACCAGCCAGCGACTGCTTCTTGTCTTCTCTTTCACTTACCTGACGCTGGATGTGAGTAGATGAAGAAAAATACAGATTTCGAATGTGAGACCAGAATTCAAAATTTGCAATTTTGAACCAATTGTTTTACCTCAAATGTGTGAAAATATGACCATTTCCCTGGTATGTTGTTACTCTTCATGCACTGAGACAACGCTTATGAGGTTGTTTTGTCCCTATGTTCCCAGTACAAGAGCACAAACTAATTCTCAGTCTATTTGTTTGTGATACCCTGGTTGGTCAGAAATATGCACAATTGGCGCGTATCTTTGGTATTCCACCTATGGCCTTCATATACTACTGCATGCTGTACCAATATCCATGCTTACCTGGGTGCAGTGATACATATGGAGTCAGGAAAACACAACTTGCATATACAAAAGTTGTCTAGATTTCATACCATGGTTGCTTCTTTGGCTGCGATAGCCCCTTACATACATTAGATGGCTGGTACATAAAGGGTTAAAAACGTACAAACTCCTTCTTCGTCCTCAAAAGGTGAAAGAGTTATTATTAATTTTTATGTCGATGCCATGTTGAACCATGTCTTTGCAGCAAGCGATTGTGGAGCGATCCAGGCACCTGCAAATGGAATGTTCTTTACGAACGGAACTACTTATGGCTCTATGGCTTCATTCACATGCAACATTGGTTACAACCTTACTGGCTCTTCATCAATAACTTGTTATGAGAGTGGCGTATGGTCGGCTTCCTTCCCAAGCTGTGACCGTAAGTTCAGAGTATTACCAAAAGCTTATCCCTCTATGCACTTGCTCCGGGGATGTTGTACTTGATAGATCGCACACTGTATTGAATCACATTTTTATGAAACAACTGGCATTCAAATATTGTATTTTGGGGGGGGGGGGAGGGGGTGAGAGACGTCATCTGAACGATAATAGCTCTCCTCGCTTCAAGGGTTTTCACCAAAGGTACTGTGTCGTCCCTTAACCCTTTGAAGGTCAGCTGGTTTTCCATAATTCCAGGACGTTCGCACAATACAGCACCCAGCCACGGATGGGCGATTTCAAAAATTTGCAACTTCACTCGCCTGCCATGGATGTTGCTGATGTTGGGGTCCAGGGGCGTGCTCGGCCCCCAACTAGGGGGGGGGGGGGGGGGTGCACAGGAGGAGAGGGTAGCCCCCCCCGGCAATTTTCTGCAATTGGTTTGCAACCTTTCTTGAATTTTAGAGCATATTTGCATACATTACAATTGCAATTACCCAGATTGAAAATTTTTGGGGGGTGCACGTGCCCCCCGTGCCCATCGCCGAGCACGCGCCTGGGGTCCTTAACCCTTTCACAACTGTCGACGTATATATACGTCATGACGTGTGCACCTGCCCCACTGACGACGTATATATACGTCCTCAGTGTACGTCGCGTTTGTACTGATGCCTCAACATCAGTGGGGCCTGGAACTGTTCCTCAGTGGGCTGAAGGCCCTGATCGACGTGTACGCAGCGTATGTGGCCAGAACAGCCGCGAGCATCGAGTTTGAAGTGGGTATTTTTGGCATGTCGTTCAAATAAATTGTTTTGGTCAAAGTTCGTTTTCGTCATCTTGCCCTGCTGTTTCTCGGCAAGGTACGTAGCTCAACTACTCTGTGTCTATGGAAGGAGTCCTGTGAAGCAGTGTGAGGGGGGTAATGACTCTGAGGATGATTCTGGAGACAGCGAAATTGTGTCGGAGTCGTTTTCCGAGGCTTACGAATTTGCTGCTATTCAAAAGATCGCAGCTGACTCGGATGCAGGGGATGCTGGAGACCAATGAGATTTGGAAAGCGATGCTGAAGTCTCTGACACCTAGGCATGGTGTTCTGAGCAGGAGCTATCTGTCGTGAGCCCGTTTGCTGAAGTTCCTCAAGTAAACTGCGATCAAATTTGAAGGTCAGATTTTTGAAAATATTTGAATTTGAAGTCAAGTGTACTGGTCAGGCATACATGCAGAACACAATAGAGATGTGCATACATGTAAGTATTGTATGTTGAGTACAGAGCCAGGCACCTACAGGATGGAGATTGCTATCTAATATGAATCCAGAATAATCCAGAATAGTCAACAATTGTGCAATTTTGAATCACTATCAGAAATTGCGCAGCCGATTGTTTCTTGAATTTTCATGCGTACGTACACCGGTACGCAGTATGCACTCGGCTGTTTAGGGAATGCTTCAGACTATTTAGATAGCTGGATTGTCTTGCCAGTGAGTGTCCAAATCAGAGACTGAGCAGCATTGCATTCTCCATCAATATGACTTTACCTGTGCCGCGTACGTACGTACGTACGCGTGCGGCCAGAGATGATTCACCCTGGGATGCGCCGAGCACAGTGAGCCAACCGCTGCCACTGCACCGGCTGCTATTATAGCTGATGCAGTTGCTGTGGTTGCTACTCCAGTTACTCGGCATCCTCACTGTCCATCATATGGTTTTGTCTTGAAGTAGGTAGGGCTGCTGGAGGATTCAAGCTTTACGAGACGCCCAAGAAAAAGAAAGACCCATTCTGGATCGCGAAGTCGCATATGATGCAAGCGCCGTATAAAACGAGTTGCTGTACTCTAGTCTAGGTTCCGTAGAACACCAGGATCATCTCAAGCATGTTATATGACATTTCTCCATTCTGAAGTCAACACTGACCAGCTCTAGCACTGCTTGCCATTGCTTGTCTGATCTTTGTCGTCAATTGCCCAAATTGGATGAATTTTGAGGAAAAATCGCCAAAAGTCGCATATCTAAATATGGTGTTATGAGTCTCGTACAATGAAATCCTACAAAATTTCTTTGGATTCACAGTGCATATGTCCATACCCAACATTTCCAACCAATTTTGGACCAGAATATGCATTTTCAAAAATTGCCATTTTTGGCCCAGTGGGAGGTGATTTTCCGGTCAGGGCTGGAAGGGTTAACTAAAAAGCTTGTGATCTCCTTCATCGAAACGTAAACAAATGCAACGGTAGCCCCTCTAAGTCCTTTCAGTGCAATTGCGCCTGACTGAGATACACCGTACACATTCGTAATTTCCTTTGGTTCAGGACTTTTACTCAACGCAGAATAACGATTCAACCTTCTCCATGTCACCGAAGTTCACGCATTCGTCTTGGTACCCACTGCGCATGTGCCTCTGCTATGTGTCATGGGGAACCACGTGCGCGCGCAATTTCAGCTCGAAAATTTCGAAATGCGCAAGTAGAGTGTATAGAAACGCATTCCTAACTTTGTCGCTTCGGGTATTTCGCATCGCGCCACAGCACAAGAGGCAGCTCTTGAAAGGACTGTCCTTCAGATTTCCAATAAGCCCTGGTTTGCGAAAATCAAGTATAAACCGCCTCCTACATGAACACAGTTGGATTATGCGGAGCGATGAGAGCCTCATGCACGTACTGTGTTGATCTTGGCGCAATTTGTGAATAAAAAAATGTGTCAAATTAGCTGAAGTTTCTAACCGTACCTTGTCGGATAATGAATGGGCGGTTTTCCGGTTTCAAAGACATGGAAAATCATTCTTACAAGATGAGTGCAATACTACATACAAATATACGGGATATCCCCTTCTGAAAGAGAAAGTTTGCATTAGTCTCTAAATGTAAGGATTACATAACTTACCGTACTAGCGTGATTAGTACCCTTGGGGCACTATATTTTCAATTTCCATCACAGATGGGGCAGTATTCAAGAGAGTGCACTATTTATGAGATGGCACTATGTTTTAAATGCCCGTATGTTTGCATCATGCAGCGTATAACAGAGCAAAACAGAGCCCAACGCCTACTGTAAACTATCACGACTCAAAACAAAAAGGCAACAAGAACTGCGATGTTGATCCAGAAACCACCAGTTCAATGACATGGACAAGCACATTACCAAAAGAGCACCAAACTTGCACATACGGTTGGTTACAAGCTCGGGGGGGGGGGGGGACTATTCAAAAGAGAGAGCTCATTTTGTTCACTGGCTCTTAGAGACTGGGGCAGTTTTCGAGATAGGGCACTATTCAAGAGAGGGCCCTAATCGCTCGCGTACGGTATGTCTTGTTGCTCTACTGTACAGGAGTCGTGTGCAGCGCACTGATGAACCCCACGCTTGGCACCGTAAGAGTTCCAGCTAATGAGTATCTATCCAAGGCAACCTACAGTTGCAATGATGGATATGTGTTGTCTGGTGATGCTGTGACTACTTGCCTACTGACTGGACTATGGTCTACATCACCACCCACATGCCAACGTAAGTGCAGAATAATGACTGTATTACGTTTAGTTTGTGCAAGAACTTTAGGAGTTCTGCTTACTAGTTATTATGGTTGTCGAAGCAAGGCACCAGGATCAATATGAGTCACATACACATAAACTGATATGAAGTGGGTGTTCAGATTTTTTCTTCAACACAACCAAATACAAGATCCCTGTGCATATGATGAGTGAATGGTTCAAATATTTGGTTTTGACTGCTGCGGAATTCTGTCGCCAGTGCACTGAGTAAATGTACAAGGAAAGGGGATAATTTTCACTGGAAACACCCCACACCTAACAGTCTGTAATCTGGGCACCAATTATCTAAATTTTCAACCCGAATCACTAACAAATGAGAAGGAGAGCAACGGAAAAAATTGTAACTTGGACACATCTGGTTTAGCTGGTGGACTCGATCGCATAACTTGTGCCCTAATGTTTCCATGAATCACTAACATTTCAGAATTCGCAGTAAAATGCTCACTCCTTTCTAGAGATTCCACGGTAACTTCATTTGTAATTCACCAATGTTGACGATGTTAGGTTCACTGGAATGCGCTTAGAGAGATAAGAACACCAATTACAAACTTATCAAAAGAATCTATCACTGCGAAAACTTCAGAAACTGCCGATAGATCTAATCTCCAAGTCAAGTCGTCAAACAACACATGTTGTGCAATTTCATCTCCATTCAGTCAAAGCTTCTAAACATTTTGGAAAATATTCCGATCATCCTTTGCCGTCTTCATTAGGAATGTTTTCATACTCATCCGTGGCAGGGACAGAAAACTCGTCAGCTGCACAAAATGTAAAAAAACAATTGCAAACGTTCCATCAAGTGCAAGCTGATCAGAATTCATCCCCAAGAATTGAACACTGTTCAAGCCGACAGACATTTCTAGGGTGGGACTTTACCGTGCACGACAAAGAGCGAATTTGTTGAAAACAGTGCTCTGCCGTCTGTAAAATGATAACGATGATATTGCCTGTCCCTTGATCTACATCTTCTTTTCCAACCGTAGGTATACCAACATGTGCTGTCCTTACAATCGCCAATGGGGAATTCAGTGAACAGCAGACGCAGAGATTGAACGCGGTTGCGAATGTGACATGCAACGAAGGATACGAGATCAACGGCAGTAGATCTGTTGTGTGCTTGGAAAGCGGAAAATGGTCTGACACTCCACACTGCATGGGTGAGTGAATGATACAATTCCCTACTCTATTTCTCTCTTCATGGAATGGAGATGTCTATACGCTTGTCCAATCCGTTATCCAATCCGATGCTGATCCGACATCATTTTTAAAATAGATTCTAATACGCCTGTGCACTGAACCCATACTATTATACGATGAGTTTAGAATGCGTATGGATGAGAATTTCCAGGAGTTGCTCTTGTTCACATGATTCTAAATTCGTGATTGCTAACCCCATGCTAACACGAAGGTTAAAGAGGAAGTTCCCGGTTTGTGATTGCAAAAGTGTGTTCAAATACGGTTTGCTCAAACTCCATTGTAGATATATTATAGCAAGCGTACATACCGTATTTCCCCGTAAGTTAGTATGTACTAACTTTCGAACTTAGTAGCCACATGAGTACTAACTTTCGGGGGTGATACTATCTTTCGGAAAGTACTTTTTTATCGGGGGTAAATGACTCGCAGTGGGAAGCCTGCGCAACTCTAGTGTCCGTGCATACGATGTATGTACTGTACGGTGTCTGTACATGTAGGACGGGTACGAACTTACTACCTTTCGAGGGGAACTGTCTTTCGGGGTGATAACCTCGGCAATGGAAAGTGTATTTTATAGGGGGTACTAAGTCATTGGGGAGAAATTACTTACGGTGAAATACGGTAACCCCCAGAGTGTGTATCGCCGATCCAGCTGTGCATAGTGTCTTGGTCCAGCAGAATCGGATCTTCTTATGTCATGCGTACACTACACACCAGCGCAAATCCTGCCTCGAGGCAGGGCACCCTTGTTTTTGATCCGAGAGTACCCGCGACTCCCTGGGTTCCCCTGAGATGTGTAAGGTATTATGACGCAAAGATCCGATTACGCTCGACTAATACACTATGCAGAGCTGGATCACGCGTTGCACGCTGTGGGGGGTTATGTACTCTTGCTTATAGTTGTTGAAACCGACAGCTCCGAATCTGCGCTGTTATTTGTTTCGAAGATTCGGATCTCAGTTGAGATTTGACTGAATTACCATCAATAGAGTATAGTTGGGAGGGCTCAAGTTTCCATGGACCGACGTCAGGCAATCCACAATATAGGATTGATAGGTTGGAAAATAGGGCTGCTCTGTTGGTTTTTCGACCCAAGACATCACAAGCATCCATAATGATGGTGATGGGGATAAAATAATGTACACTGATCCCGCCTTATGTTTGATTTCCGTTCTTAGAGATACCGACATGTGCAGTGCTCCAAATCGCCAATGGTGCATTCAGTGAAGCGCAGACACAGAGAGTGAACAGTGCTGCTGAAGTGACGTGTAACACCGGATACCAGATCAACGGTAGTAGATCTGTTGTGTGTTTGGAAAGTGGAGTATGGTCCGACAATCCACACTGCATGGGTAAGTTGTTAATGACTTTTCCTCCTACATTTCTTACAGCCTAGAATGGAGAATGTTGTGTGCTAGTCCGATCCCTTCAATTTGATACGTTGGTTCATTGAAGTGCTCCCACCAACCATTTTGGAGAAGAGGTCACGGCCACTTTGGGGATACCGGGGTAATTGTTGAGTGCTCTACAGTCCATTTCAAAACTATAGACGCGTACCTAGGCAAAAACCGTTATGCCAGCATCTATACCACATAAAATCTGTGATCACTTTGTGCATAAATTTTTCCAAATTGGGCGTCTGTTATCCAATCCTTTAGAAACTATATGAGAGTAATTGTGGAGCGATCCTGAGCAATATTCCGAAAACTATTCTCAAAAAGTTCCAGCCAAATTTGAAATATTTCAAAAACCCTACGCGTCTATAGTTTTGAAATGTGTTCTATACTTGGGACGTCTAGCTTGTCATACCTACAGTCAAACCTTGTTAGGACGAACACTGATAAGGCGAACTTTCCATTAGTACGAACTAGGGCCAATCCTATGGTTGGCCAGGCATCATATCAAGTCAAAATGGTTCGTTTACGACGAACTCCTGTATGGCGAACTTTCGTGAAGACGAACTATTTTCCAGTGTGATTTGAATAAAATCAGCCGCGTAGTACGAACTTTGGTGTGTGCACGTGCGCTGGCTGTCTTTTTTCTTCTTCTTTTCGATAGCCGAGTCCATACATTGATTGTGCATGCCTGGGAACTCGTGGCCTGGCATGAGTAATACATGGATGTGGCAAATGGGATCGATGTCTTTGGCCTCGGGTTGGTGGATCTGATCTATCCTCCCCCACCGTTTAGGAGCCGCATCTGACGCCTGATCCTGGGGTGGTGGCGTCCCACGGAAGTGGAAAGGTGGTTCCTGACCAGGGAGTTGTACGACTCCTTGTTCTTGACCTGCCCGGTACGCGAACCCCGTCAAATTTATTTATTTTATTTATACATTGATTGTACGTACATACATAAACATAATACATGTAGATCTACGTTGTGAATCGTAGTAGACGCACTGAGGTACGTGCTTTCTAGGCATAGTAGTTTCAGCGTGCTAGCGTACACTGTTCGCGTCATTGATCGCGCTTCAGGCGAAGGTGACTTTTTTCCATTGATGTTTGCAACAACTTCAAGGTGGTCCCTGCCAGTACCAGTGTTCTAGGTGAGTTATGAAGTGAGCTGTGAAGAGATTCGTGAAGTGTTTTGTGAAACAAAGAGCGTTGATCCGTAGAGGGTAGTGGCGTTCCTACGGATGCGGAAAACTCGGCCTCAACTGGCTCCAACCGAGTCTCACACGAACCGAGAGAGTTTTTTTGTTGAAGTATGAAACTCGGATGTTGAGGTGTTGTGCTTCACACTGTGCTTCACACTCGTAATCGCTTATATTCAATCCATGATTTCATCGTAATGTATTTGTATGTGTATGGAGGCACAGTCACATTGTACTTACCTGTTTCTGGCTTATGCTCAGAATAAATGTTTCCCATGTACCACAGTATGCACCTTCACGTAAATACAATCCATATGATATGCATAACGATTTTTTTGTCAGATCTGGATAAGAAGAACTCCCGATAAGACAAACAAAATTAATGTGTTCAGTCCCTTGAAGTTCGTCCTAGTGAGGTTTGACTGTACTTGCATTCTCACTTTATTGACCCACGACTGCCATCCCGAGGACATGAGAAACAGGTGGCACCTTCCAAATCTTCTAGAAAGCACCACTAAAAGCTAAATATGCGGTGTTTCAGAATTCCCCCTTCGTCCTCTACGCTTGTGCAGGATAAAGAAATAATTAGTGCTGAACCGGGTATAATTTTTTCGGGTTTCAGGTTCGGGTAGGTTTCCACGGGTACACAATCGGATAATGTTTCCATGGTAACAGCAGACAGATGGAACATGCTTCCACCTGGATGTCGTCAAGCTAAGCCCCTTTCTGCATTTGTCACAAGCACCAAGTCATTCGTAGGGCTCCCAGTAAAAAGGCAACGCCTGTTGCGAGTTCTCTAGTAAAATAATAAATTCTACTACGTGTACTACTACTACTACCACAATGCACCCCTCCCTTACACACTCGACACACGGAGTATTACATGAATTTGTACACGTGCACTGCACATGATGTCATGTGCGACTTCGGGTTTTCGGGTACTACTCCGTATGTACCCGGTTACCCGAGGTTCTCACGGGTAGCACGGGTACCCGACTACCCGTGCACACCCCTTGAAATAATGTAGTCATATGAAGAAAATATTACTGAAATATTGCCACAAGATGATGTCATAGGATAGTCAAGTAAGCACATGATTTCAAGTAAAACCATGTACACCAGCATCTTTTGTGCACCACTTACCTGGGCCGACGTGAGGGCATCAACCTATAAGCAAGTAGACGTATCCGATTCCAAGCACGTATCCAAGCAAGTTGACTTATCCGTGGAATAATTATAATCTTTTGGCTACCGTTCTGCTTTCGTTGGGCGTGATTCTTTGAATTAATCCTGACCTTCCCAAAACAATTCGTCACTGAAAGCAGAGGGGTGCGATCACAGATCATTGTGCACGTTCATACAAAACTTAGCTGTCGTCATCTGCTGCACACGAGTCGTCATCTCTCTCGAGTCGTTGTTCAGCTCATTTCAGCCTTGCCTCGGCTTCTTTGATCACACTTTGCTGACCTTGATGTCGCCGTCGTTCAAGTAAGTAGGTTTTCAAGCTGCTTGATACGCCGCAATGGCGATTGCTCGTTTCCACCAGAGTCGTGAAAACTATTTTACGACTCCCTGGTTTCATCTTCGCTCTCCAGAACTCTGCGAAACGAGAAGTAAAGGCACAGCCAAACTGATTCCATTTTCTCTAATGAATTCCCCTGCCAGTACAGAATGGCAGCGGCTAGCAAGTCCAGTCGACTTTCTTTAGCCACGAGACTCGCATCGGCATGGCGCATGCCCATCAGCATTTGAATCTGGGCTTTGCGCAGGTTGAACGAGAACTTGATTTCAGAATTATTTTCATTGAGCCGTGCGATCGAAGCAGCTCCTTGTTCACTCGCTCATTGTGTGGGCTCGCTGCTCCGTTTTATCGCTTTCTATCACTCTCTAACTTACTCAGTGCTAAAGTGGTAGAGAGGCCAAGTAGCGCAATATCCCCTCGGAGAAGTGGTATTTTAGTTTCGCTCGCCATGACTGTCATCACCTATGTTCGACAGCGCAACCATCGATTCAGCTTGGCTTGTTGTGAAAGGTCGCTTTTCTTGTATCGTACCTCTTTCATGGCATGCCAGGGAAGTCCAAGAGAGTGATTGCGACTCATTTCACGGCAGTTAGTGCCCAAATCAGCCCCTCAAAAAATCCATCACGAAGTTTTTGTTAACGGAGGAAGTAGCACAATGTTATATACCATTCTTCTGAGCTATCTGTTATCCATCAGTTTGTTTTCCGTTTCTTTTCTCTTTGCTCGCAGCCAATCCCACAACTGCTCCAGTCACGGAGGCGGCCTGGCTCGAACAATCTAACAGTCTAATCGTCATCATTGTGGTTGGCGTGCTTGGCATCCTGCTCCTATTCTTCATCATCGCCTTCATCATCGTGCGACGAGGAGCGTCTGGTCACAAGGGCGAAATCACGTTCAACAACCACCAGGCTGAGGAAAGCTATCAAATGGACGTGCAGAATAGCACCACCACCTCCACGTTCACGCAGAAAACCGATTCAGCCGCAGACATGTACGCCGTACCGGAGAAAGCGCCAAAAAAGCCCGCCCCGCAGGTTTCTGACGAGGGCATCACGTATGCAGCAGTGGAGTTTTCGGCCGACCGGAAGCCCACTATCTCGGTTTCACCCAAAGTCGACGACAACACCACCTACAGTGATGTCACATTCCTGCGAAAAACGGCCACGTAACTCAATCTTTTGCCATGTTTTACCACTATTTTTTTCATTTCCAAACCCATTGCTATGGATGCGGTATGCCAAGCTTGCCTTGCGAACTGCTTTATTTTGCTATGTCGTCACAAGATAGGATTTAAACATGGTAATTTTAACTATCAATAATATGCGTAGGCCATACACCTAGTGGTACATTTGTTTCAATTACAGAGACAATCTTTTTTGGTTTAGATCTCTTTGATGCTAGATATTCGCTTGCCATAGCTTTTTCCTTGTAGATACCCCCATTTTCATGTGTCTTCAGCATGAGCTCAATTATCTTTACATCAATGCAATTATGCTGATTACCGGTATGTGCAATGCCACATTTGGAGGAGTAATTCAGGCCTGGCCCGATTTAGTGGTGGCCTACACATATGGATCACTACAGCTGCGGCTAGCATGCATGCATAGTGGGTTGGTCTAAGACCATGATTGAGAACCAGAGGCTAGCAGGTTGAAGTTAGTTCTGCTTGGAAAGCGTAACTTTTTTCCAGCCATATGCCGCCCACAATCAATGGGGAACTCGTTGCCTCAGTCGGGATCGAGGGATGCATGGATACAGCGAATGGGATTTTGGATCTTTGACCACATTGGTGGGTTTGATCTAGTCACTCCCCAACGCCGTAGGGCCAGGTTCCAATTCCGCTCTGCTGCTCCGCTGCATGTCATCAGCGCCATGAAACGTCATCAATACCATAGCGACGGCGGCCAGAGTTGTGCAGCGAGGCCGCGGCTGCGATTCTTGATCAAAAACTGGGAGCCGTGGTCACGGCTCGATCTGTTTCCAGAACTCTGCATTGTTTTATATGCGAGAATTTTAACATTCTATTTTTAATTCGATGTGCCCGCCAGAACAAGCGGATATTTTTTATATTTCTCGCACTCAGGCAGGTAAAAGACCATACAAAGAACGTGAATCACGACCGCGGTACCGCCATAGTGAGTGTCAGCGGAACCTCGCCACTCGTCTGCATACAGCGAAGTGCCATAGAGTAGTGGAGCCGCAGAGCCTTTAAAAGACCGATTCATACTTTATTTCGCGTACGAGAAACGCGTCGCGACGCGAAAAAGTTGATCTGAGCTCAACTATTTCGCGTACAGGAAAGTCATCGCGCGACGGTCGCGCGATGGCTTTCCCGTATGCGACACGAAGTATAAATCGGCTTTAAGGGATGGGTTCTCACTGCCGCTCCGCTGCCACGGTGTGTCCCAGAGCTGCAGCTAGCAGCGTACCAGCATAACCAAACTACGCACAGTACAATTCTTGCTCAGGCTGGAGCGAAACCACAGGATCGTGTGTAAGATATCCAGTCACCCTGAGCAACTGGTTCTCGTCAGCGCTTGTTCATGTGAATGCCTGTCCTTTTATGCGAACTACAACCAGCCGGGGCGTTATGTATTATAATAACAAATCAAAACCGGTATTTTCAACACCCCCACAGGTAAATTATTCCATCTGCTACATACTGTATTACTCAGACCAACGTTTCTATAAAAAAATTGTTGAGTCACCTCCACCATTAAACTGCGCTCTTTAGCCGACTAGACCCTCCTGCACACAACCATCACCATTGCGAGAACACTTCCGTAGACGATATTGATAAACTCCTTCAGATATTATGTACAGTGTAGGTCTGCATCGTGTAGTTCGTCATGAACGTGCATGGCATGACATTATTTTTTGTGTTCGCATAATTATTTACACTGGGTAAAACCATGCTACTGTCGTGGACATGGAAATCCGGTCGCACGTCTAGCGGCCCCAGAGCGCTGGCCATGCAGCCGTGGATACGCGGTAGATCTACACCAGGGAGTGGTATACTACTGTCGTGGACATGGAAATCCAGTCGATTGACCTGGGCCGCCGCCCTCAGAACGTTACGATGCATGCAGTGGACAATCATGTTGATCCGCTGCGACCAGCAGCGCATAATGCCTGCGTGTGCTGCATATCTACGTACTGGTAGTCTACCGCTGCATGGCCAGCGCCCTGGGGCCGCTAGACGTAGATCTACGACCGGACTTCCATGCACATGACAGCAATACGACTCCCAGCCTGATCTACACACAATGCATTCGTATCGTGCGCTGCATGCAGCGCGCTGGTCGCGTCGAGATCAACATGTGCACTGCATGCAGCATACCGTAGATCAACGCGCTGAGGACGTAGTGAGGGCGCCGGCCCCAGTCAATCGACTGGATTTCCATGTCCTCGACAATAGATCATGGTTGATGTCTACGATCAAGAGCACATAAACACGACAATGCTCTTCCTACAATTAGTATTAATAATACAGCCGGCTGTTCAGGCCCAGACAGCACTGACTCAGTGACTGTTACTCTGTTGTGGGCATGGAAATCCGGTCACAAGTCTAGTGGCCCCGGGGCGCTGGCCATGCCGCCGTGGATAAGCGGTACATACGTACATGTACATGTGGTACATACGTACATGTACATGTATCTAATATTGACTGAGTAATATTAATAATATAATAATTTGAAACTCGGATGTTGAGCCATAAATAAATGTAGAAAGGAAAAGGACATAAGGATACGAGTTAAGAGTAACTCTCCTTCACTGTAACTGGATACTATATACAGTCAAAAAGTGCAATAACTTGGCACAAAACTGACAAGAGTACTGAGACATTCGACGTCCTGACACCTAACTTCAACACATCTCCGTAGCGCTAACCGACAGCCTTCCAACTTGTTACTGGTCTAGTCATCGTCCAGTAACAATCGACATCCTTTGTTCCATTGGGACTGTAGCTTTTGCTAGTTTTCGTTGCGCTTGCCTTCCCCTCTTTGGTCTTTCCATAACCTTGAACCTTCCAAGTTGGAAGGCTGTCGGTTAGCGCTTCGAAGATGCGTTGAAGCTAGGTGTCAGGACGTCGAACGTCTCAGTACTCTTGTCAGTTTTGTGCCAAGTTATTGCACTTTTTGACTGTATATAGTATCCAGTTACAGTGATGGAGAGTTACTCTTAACTCGTATCCTTATGTCTTTTTCCTTTCTACAATAATAATAATAATAGTAATAATACCACAGCATGCGTAATAATATAATTATGTGGGTATAATTATACGTTCCGCTTCTGTCCTGCCTCCTAAGATCAAATTGCATTATCAAGATAATTATTGTCAATACGGTGCACTGATGACCTGTGACGCCAGATCATGGATTGTCGGCCAGCTTTCTCCATTTAGGCTTGTCCAGAGCGATAGCCCTCACATTCTCCAGCTGATTGCTGCGCTTCAAGTCGATGTTCCTTCTCTGTAAGTCGCTTGTGATGCGCGTCGCAATGGATGTCCTTGCCAAGTTGAACGTCCACGCCCAGCCTTTGCATCTGCTACAAAATAGCCCGTCAGCGCGATCCATGGCGGCGCATCCCTGTCCATACGGAGAATAGGGCCGGTTGGCTGCCATCTTCTCCTATCCACGATGTCAGATAGTGGTTCCGTGTTGCACCTCTCATACAGCTCAGTATTTGATGTTTTTTTTTCCTAAATTGTATGTTGACTGAGTACGAGGTCAATATACAATGAAGGAAATAAAGCCGAGTAAAGGAACAAGGCGAAGCCGAGGTCTTTTACGAGGTGTTTATTTCCTATGCTCACCAAGTACGAAGTCAATATTCGATTTATCACAACAAACAGTCCGTATTTCTAATTCCAGAACGATCCATCTCATGAATCCCGGTTTTATGATTGCACAACCGTTGCACCATCACCATGTTTACCTACGCATGCAGTGACCATGCTGCACTCCATAGTTTAGGAACCGTTCAACTGCCCAACCCCTAAGCAGTCAAATATAAGCAGTCAATAAGCCCTTAGGAGTGAAATATGCAGGAATAGTTGACTGCTTAGGTATAGCGAAAATCAATGGGCGTCTAAAGAGAGTGACAAATGCATTTATGCGCTGCAGCGCGCTGGTCGTTTCGGATCAACATGTGCACTGCACGCAACGTTCTGAACGCGCTGAGGGCGCCGGCCGGCCCGGCCCCAGTCAATCGACTGGATCTCCATGTCCACTAGCGCTACAGTAGTAGTCAGCGATCCTACACCATGGGCGTTGATTTTCAAATCATGGTTCATAATAATTATGCATGTTCCCAGTTTTAGGTTTGCACAGCGCTTGGCTAGCCCATGCACTTCACAGGTTTGTTTGGAGTTCGCTGAGCTGTTCAAGCAGTGTCTTGTCTTGACATTGCACAGTCCGGTACCGCAACCCATCAACCAACAGACAACAACACCCTCGTTAGATCTTACACCTGTCATGGTCACAGCCAGCCGCGCAGAGACAGTCGGCTGCCCCAAAAGACGAGTGGAGAAATCAACATGAAGTCTAGACTACTAGTATGTCCAATGCACCAGTGCAGTGGTATAAAGGGTTAGGCTGCGCCCTTTGTTCGCGCTTTGTGAAGTGTTGTTTCTGTTCTGAATCAGTGCGGATCCGGATGGCAGTCTGGTACAGGGCTGCTCTCGATATAACAACTCTCACTTGTACGCCGACCTCGCTAACACGGAAAAAACAAATAAATGACGCGCCCAACTCGCATCACTGCAATACAAATTTTGTTCTGCACAACGCAACCCTGCATAACGTAAACCTCGACATAACGTACGCTACGGCGCGTCCCCGCCCGACGTGCGCACTCTCCACAGAACGTAGATTCACGATCACGTGCGCCGTACGATCAAGCTGTAGCTGTAGCTAGCCAGTTTACTCCTATTCTGCATATATTCTGCGGCATTGATGGTATCTGATGTCGATGGTGTTGCAGTGTTTACACTCTTGTCTTTTACTTGTCATCTTGACTTTTTTTAAGCCTAATATACGGGCAATCACAGAACATGATTTCACTGGCCTGACCGCGGCAACAACTGCAAAGCAAAACAAAACAAAAATGTAAATAAAAAGAAAATGAAACTTTACAATCTGCACAAAATGACAACTCCATTTTTAACATAGTCTCTGTTGATCAGTCAGTGAACTCAGTATCCGTTACCCGTGTTAGCTAGTTGCCAATCTTGTCTGCATGGTTGGATCCGCCTTGAGAGTGAGAGAGAGTGAGAGAGAGAGAGGAGAGAGAGAGAGAGAGAGAGGAGAGAGATAGAGATAGAGAGAGAGAGAGAGAGAGAGAGAGAGAGAGAGAGAGAGAGAGAGAGAGAGAGAGAGAGAGAGCGGGGAGGGTTGGGGAGCTAATGAACTAAATAAGAGAACTAAATAAAGTATTTAAAAAAATGAGAGAGAGAGAGAGGAGAGAGATAGAGATAGAGACATACCAAACATTTCGATATACATGTAACATAGTTTTGGCGTTATCTTAGGTGGACATGAAAATGGGACGGACACACATGTAGGCATTTCCCA